AAGAGATATATACATTTATGTCTCACTGTATAATTTAATTTCTACCTACATTTATTTGTTTATTGTATTTTGGGGGACAATTAATTGTATTCTTATTTATTTATTAAGTATTTATTTTTTGTATTTCTTTTTAAATATAGCAGAGTTGGTCCTCCATAGCCTTGAAGTCAGCAGGCAACAATTAACTTAACTGGACCTCAAGTAAAGTAAAAAAAAAATCAATGCTTTTAAAAAAAAGTATGCTATGCAAGTCATTTGCTCTAATATTTGATATGTTGGTAGGCAGGTAAAACAAAAGAATTAGGAAAATAAATTGGTGGACTGTGCGTCCAAGTATTTCAGTATATACATATGTAAATTTTATGTATAAATACTGATATCAAGTGCTTTAAAAGCTTCTGAGCTGTTTTTTTTTTTTTGGACGCTGAAACATTGTGTGTCTGTGCTGATAAAAGTAGGTCAGAGTTAAGCTTGGGGCAGATTAAAACATCTCGCAAAGCTGCCTACCTACAACCTAACAGGAAGGCAAGGTAGTCCTGCTGACTGCGGCCAGGTGATGTGTCGGTATCCCAGGAATGCCTGACACAGGCTGCTGCCGTGTTTCAGCACAGGAGGAGACAGGAGGTGGAGAGAGGAAGGAGCGCTTGGCAGAACTTGTGGGAACTCGCCAAGGCAGGAAGGATAGTATCGGGGGTGCAGGGAGGGACCAGGGTAGGGTAAAAGACAGAAAATTATTTCGAACCACGGCAGTATGAACTTATGAAGTAGTTTGATTGGTGTTGTTGTCGTCAGCGTGGAGTAAAACATGCCCGGGAGGAGAGAGCTGTGAGGCGCTCCTACAGGTAGGAACAGCCGCTATGGTCCCACTTCATGACGCGCTATATATATTTTTTTATATTTGATCTGGTACTTAGATAGGCTGAGGGACATATAGTTTCACGAACCAAACTGTTTGAATTTGCTGTTGCTATGTAGAAAAAAATACAACAAAATGTAGTATGCCTGCATGCTTCCTGTATCTTCCCAGGTTTTTCCAATAAATAGCTCACCTGTTGCGCAATTCCACTGGCAGGCTTTTATTTTGTAAACGCATTTGAAGCATTAGAGACGGCTGTTTTACAGACCTACACTAGTGGGTTATTATAGGTGTTGCAATATGTGTTGTCATGTTAAATTTCCTAGTGGCCCCTCAGCAGCACATTTACAGGTGTGTGAGAGATAGTTGTTCTCCTGGGGCCAACTCCCCTAAAAACAGGATGTGGAGTTGTTACTCCATAAAAAACAGTAAAACTTCTATGTGGACTTTGGATATCTTCTTCTTGTTGGATTTATTGTCGGTTGGCAACAAACATTTAGTAGCATTACCGCCACTTACTGGTATAGAGTGTGGTTCGTGATGGACTATTTACTAATAAACATATATATATATATATAATTTCGAATGAAAAAAAAGGAAAACAAAAACAATCCAAAAAAAACCTGACATACTTATGCATAACTTTGTATTCTACCCGTCTATATCATACACACATTCACCTTCACTATAATCAAATTCTATAAAATTATTTAGTTTAATTTAAAAATCGAATAATTATTTGTATATGTTTACTCCCCCAATTCCTCCTCAAAATATCTACTAAGTTATTCTTTTCCTTAATACATTCAAACTCTCTCCTCATATATCTTCACTCACTTTCATATTTATGACATTCCAGTATAACATGTTCTACTGTTTCATATTTTCCACAGTAATCACATTTGCCAGTAGTATGCTTTTGAATTTTGAAAAGTCTATAATTATGTCCTGTTTGCCCAAATCTTAATCTTGTTATCAGTCTCTCCTCCTTTCCATTTCTTCTTTTTCCTATCATCTTCAGAATTTTATAAAACCACCTTCCTGTTTTTTCTTCATCCCACCTTTTTTGCCATTTTTCCATCAGTTTTTCTTTAATAATGCTCTTTCCCTCCGATTTACTTGTTTTAACTGTAAAACTAATAGGACTTTGAATTGCCCTCTTTGCCATTTTATTTGCCCTCTCGTTTCCTTCTACTCCAATATGTGCTGGAACCCACACAAATACAACAATCAAACCCATATTTTTTATTCTGAATAATATATGAAAAGTTTTCTAATAGAATGTCCATCCTACTATCTGACTGATTATTTTAAACTTAATGCAGAGCTTGAATCTGAACAAATTACTGTTTTTAATGGTTTTATGTCTTCCATTGTAAAGCTAATTATATTGCAAACATTTCCCCTGTGTATACTGATAATCCATCTGAAATTCGTTTTACTATTTTTATATTGAATTCTGGTAGTAACATGTTTTTAAGCTAGCTAATATAAAGAAAAAAAAAAGATGAATCCAGTAAGTGTTTATGTTTTTTTTTTTTTTTTTTTTTTTAGCTTTTTTATGGTCTTCTGGAGGATATAGAACAATTCATTGTTGTTTAAAGTGCATTGAAAAAGTATCGACAGCCATTAAACTTTCTTTGCATTTTGTGATTACTTTTTTTCACACAACTTCATTGTGTTTTATTGAGGGTTCCTCAAATAGACTTATACAAACTAGATCACAATTATGAAATACTAGGATAATAATTATCTTTTTTAGACAAAAATGTCACAAGTGGGAGGTTTGTTCCAAATGTCGTCACAGACCCTTGATTAAATTTAGGTCTGAATGTTGACTTCAACATTGTACATATCAGAATCGGAAATTATTTATTGCTGAGTAGTGTTTTTATACATATGAGGACTTTGTTGTGTAAATAGATGCTACACATAGACAAGAAAGCATGTGGTTATCATAAATAAATAGTGGAATATAAAAAAAAAATGAAACAACAAATTTGAATTGTATGTGAAGTGGCCGCAACAACATTAAACAACAAACAACAAAATTATGATGAACATACTTTAATACATTTTTTTGATGTTCTTGAGTGTTAAGGATATTTATTTAGAAGGAAAAACCTTTCAATTAGTCGCAAGTGTTTTGCAGCGTGAAATATCCATCCACTTTCTCATCAGATCTGATCATTGTACCTGTCTGTGTTGAGAAAAAATATTTCCAGAACATGTTGCTGCCTTGCTGCACTGCGGCTTGTCTTTTTCAAGTGTAATATATAAAATCTGACAGTAGATTGGAAAGAAGTGGAAAATTAAAAGAGTAATGCATACCTATGCAATGAATTCTAAGTTCCTTCTTTTCAGCACCACAGCAACTGAATATTGAAGTACAGAGTTATGCTATGAAAATCAAGAAAATTATTTCATGTAATGTATTTAGAAGGTAACAAAAACAATCTCTAGTTGATTTCATAGTTGTTATATAGTTCTTTATTTACATTTTTAGATGTGCCTTTTATTTTCACACACTTTCCTGCTGTTTATCTGAGTTTGCTGTTCCTTATTCCTTTTTTACACGAATGAAGGATGATGAAAATAAGTTGTTAAACATTTTTTTTTTTTTTGCATTTCCATGCAGTTCATTTAAATTGATTTACACTGTGCCTGAATTAATGAAATAGAAATAATTTGTGGAGCAAATGCATTGTTCATTATTGACCTTTCACAATGTTTTTTTTTGTTTGAAGTTTGAAAGAAAACCTCACATTTTCCAAAGTTAGAATTGACTTTTCAAGCTCAGAATATTAAATGTATTATTTCCTGGAAAAATAAAATACATCTGAAGGCTACAGCAATAACAAGTTTGTTCGTACTTCTGATGGTTTTGATTGCATTAAGTCAGAGGGACATAGCAGTACAAGGCCTGTCTGTGAACACACTGCAGCAAAACACTGAGAAATACTATCGGGTTGCCTTGCTAATGGTTTTCTGCATTATCAATTCAGGACAACAATCATCAAGTTCTACTGGTTTTACGGCTTAAAACAGAAACATGGTTAGACTGGGTGTGATACTATCTGACATCTGACTTCTAAAGTAAAAAAAATGCAACTTTACAAAGGAATCTTGTCACTGGGATATTGGCTTACCTTTAAACTTCTTTTTTTTGGTATTAAAATAGCTGCAATAAATCCTACATTAATTTACAGCTAAAAAAAGATCTGACAAATTTTATTTAAATCATCACTAAGTACATTATGCATAATTATTATGACCTTTTTTTTCATCATCTATACAAGTAGTTATTAAAGCAAACATCTATTGTGGTTGACAAATCAGTTTGACAACAATGGTTCAATATGGCTGAAAATGAATCAAAATATCAGCCTCCCATGTCAGTCAAGGTTGATTAACTTTTTATTTTACCTATTTCAATTTAGGACTGGGACAAAATCCCAATTCAAATTGTAACTATAACTATTTTAACATTAAAAATAAAAAAAAGAGACCAGCTCCACCACCAACCTATCTTGGCTAGTCTGTGAGAGACTGAGAGACCAAATACTTTACTCTGCCTACATTCCCCAGAATGCCGTGTGGTTCAGAATCGCAGTTCAGTGAATTTAAGGAACATTTCATTGAATATATTTCATTTTTATATTTGTAATGTATTTTTGATCAAGCGTCTGTCATGATGTCATTTTTGCCCCAGCTCTCATTGTGGCTTAATGACTTTAACTGAGATAATTACAGTAAAAGTACCTAAAATATCCAGGGTCAAGAACGAACTAAATCATGCTATCCTAAAATACTTGCAACTCTTCAATAAACATTATTTCCATTCACAGTGTGAATTTTGTGTTTTTGAGGGACATTTTCAGGTTTCCATTTTTAGTTTGTGGTTAATGGGATGTTGTTGTTGCACAGTTCAGGCCTGATATACGGTTGAGGCCAATGTGTTTACAGAGGCAGGAAAGTGGAAGCGCAAGGGAGGAAGGAAGGAAGAAAGTAAGGCCTGCTATTAAAAGTCTGTTGGTTTTTATTGTGCTAATGACAGACCCAGACCTTGGTCTTCTGTCCTTGTCCAACAGGAAAACCCAGCAAAATAATCCTTGGCTAAATCCTCTCTGTTTTTGTTTTACAGCAAGAGGAAGAGTATCAGTGCCTACTTCAGCCATCTAAAGGTAAAATGATGTCCAAAAATCCTTTTTGCTTTTCATATGCTAAAGAGATGTAGGTAGACAGAGTTTCAAAACTTTTTATCTTCTGTTGTTGTGTATGTTACAGATGTTCGGTGGTAGAAAGGAGATGGATCTCCTGAAAAAGGAGCTAGAAGAGGAGTTAAAGCTGAGCAGTGAGGATGTGAGGAGTCATGCATGGTACCATGGACCGCTGACCCGCGAGGTGCACATACCACAATACATATACCACCAATACTAATAACATGCTGTTGTTTTCTGCTTAAAGATGTAAAAAAAAACCCTCCCCAATACAAATTTAGTAAACTGCCATCAATGTGGGCAGGGCACATGAGGCCCTAATGCTACATTCAGACCGCACGCTGCAGAAGCAGCAGAAGCAGCTAGATTACATGCAAAGTCTATGGTTGATGCACTTTAAGGCGCAGCAAAAGGTCCTCCAGCGCATTTTGAGCAGCTGCAGCAGCACATCTGAGCAGCTGTAGGAGTGCCTTACGAGCTTCTGAGCATCCAGCGAGTACGACTTCAGAAGCAGCAGCTGCTGGAGCTGGAAAAATTAAACTTTTGCTGCTTGATGTGCCACATCAACCAATCAGAGAAGCTGATCTGGGAGCTGGCAGGGAGACAGACACAGCACTGCTGATGCAGATCGCTATGATCACTCCTCTGAAACAGTTTATTTATGCCTAAATTAACTTAAAATGTCGAAAGCTGCCGGCAAAATGTGTTCACTTTTATTATTCTGGTGCCTGCAGTTTGGGTTACGTACGTTAAAAATGCCTTCCAGCTGCCGTGATCAGTAGCTGAAAACTGCAAAGAGGCAACCGGGCCAGAGACTGCTGTTGAACGGGATTTCTAGGGACAGAGCTCCAGCAGCTAAATAATATTTGAAAGCAGGATGGTAATCTTGATGAACCAACTGCACAGATGAAGTTTTCTGGAGTACTTTCTTACAAAAACATAATAAAACAATGTTTTACCCACTTAGAACAGCAAATAGAGCACTCCGCCACTGAATACAGGAGCAGCAGAAGAATCTGATGCATCTGGACACACTTTACAGGACGTCTGACCTTAATGTTGACAAGCATAAAAAATAATGCAGCAGAAACTTTTTTGCTGCTTCTAGTGCTTGCAGTCTGAAAGTAGCATTATTCATTAAAATAAGCCAAGCGACTCTCTAAATATCTTCTGCCATTGTTACAGGCAAAGAAAGGATAGGGTAGCTCTGCCCGTCAGACCCACTTTTCGACCGTGCAGTTAGAGCAGCAAAGATGCTTCAGCCACACTTCAGAACTAAACTTGTAAAAGCATAAAAAATAAAGTAGCACTTGCTGCGTGCGGTCTGAACGTCTTAGAAGCAAGGCTGAATGTGGAGATGAAGAGTGGGGGTCTATTGGGGTGTGGTAGGGATTAGCGAAAGTGGCAGCTATCTAAAACTACAGTGGTGGAGGATTTTTTTTTTCTTTTTACCCTTTAACCACAGCCGATGGCTCAAGGTGCTGACTCAGCAATGTCCGAAGCCAGCACTGCTTTGGCAGTGGAGAAGAAGATTACTTGTCTGAGTTGGTTTTGTACCTGAACATAGAGCTGTAATGATGACAGCATATACAGTTTTAAAAAAATACAAAAACTGCACCTGCTACAGCCACAGTTCAACCCTGCAAGGGCAGCTCTAACATGACTTATATATTAAATAGTGTGTAACAAAATGGCAACCCTTAGTACAGTTTATGTGCGATAATGGGACAAGTCACATCTTAATGACATTAGTTGCGAGAAGCTCAGCTTTGCAATCCATAACGATGCACTCATAAAAAATAAGAAAGTCATCTTATAAAGTAATATTTCAGCTGGATATTTTTTTTTCAGAATCAAAGAAAGAAATTGGGGCCTTTCTGAATTTCAGCAATTAAAAAAAAAAGAATTATAGAAGATATAGAACATATTTCAGTCTCAATCAGATGGGATGGGGAGAGAAAGTTTATCAGCATTGTTTTGCATTTATTATACATTGAGGTTGAAATAGATGATAAAAATTATTTTGAAATCATCAGATTTTTAGCTATAGATTATGTAGCTGTGACTGCAATTACAGCCCCACAATCACAAAGGCTGCTTTGAAAAAAAAAAGAAAAAAACTAGTCATCACCCAGATTTGGCAGAGAATTTTACAATGGATTTCCTTCCCTCCATGTTGAGGATTTGAACTTGGTTTCCTTGTATCATAAAAGCGGACTTAGCCTGCAACACATCAGGGGGACTTAACATTGCCAACAGTGCTCCTGTTTTTTAACATTGGGCATCATGTAGTTTTTATTCTTGTGATCAAAAGTCTGATGACATAAAAAACAAACGTAATAATAGTAAAGGGTATGTTAATTGCCCATCACTTCTCTGGGCTTAATTTTTGCTACGGATTCCCAATCAAATATAAGGTAGATTTTTACTGTACGGCTGAACTATGACTGGGCCACCATAACACACAAATAATCTTTGACCCAAATCATTGCTTCTGAAAAACACACCTTTTCACTCTTGTCTTCTAGAAAAACTAGAGTATAAAGTATTCTCCTTGTTTCCTCAGACTTACATTTTCATTTGGTTTACTGTGGCTGAGTGTTCTTGGTATTTAGTAACCACCTGCAGAACAATACATCTCTATGGGGTTTTTCTCAGGTTGCATTATGTGGGTTTAAGGAACATCGAAGTGTTGAAATTGAAAGCAGGTAGATTACTCAGAGTTCCAATTAAAACACTAAACAATGACGTTTATTACACATATGTCTCAGAGAAGCTGTCACATGAAGTTACAATTATTTAAATAGTTTTAATAATACCACATATGTCTAATAGTCTGTTGACTGAAGCACAAATTCTTCTTTTTAAGAATATGTTATTATCCAGTGTGTTTTTTTTTAAATATATTTTTTCTAAGATAATTGAAAACTGACGAAGTACAGAAATTCTGTTTGACACTGAACTATTGCAGTGTTGATATGCTAGTGTTAACCATGAATGCAGCTAAAATGTTAAATTACTATAATTTTTTCCGAGTCTTATGGTTTCTTAAGAAATTGTTGAAATCATGTTTCAGGCATAAGTAAAAATGTAAGCCTGTATGAATAGCTGCCTAAATTAACCTGAACTGTTTCCTCAAGGCTTCAGAATCCCTGTTTGAGAGGGATGGAGACTTCCTGGTCAGAGACTCAAGCTCCTCTCCTGGAGACTATGTCCTAAGCTGCTTGTGGAAGAATAGTCCACAGCACTTCAAGATCATAAAAGTTGTTCTTCGAAAGGTGGGTATACACAGCATGATTTATGCCTCACTTTTCATTTTTTTTTTTTTTTTTTTGAGTAACCAGTACAACAAGAAGGAAAAAGGTAAGCTTACGGTGTTGCTGTCTTAATGATGGTTCAAATAATTGCTCTTCTCTTTATTAAAGGGGAATTTGTATATAATTTTTGTATTTGTATATAATTTTGTAATATACTGTGAAGAATTTTAACCGTTTAACTTCCACCAGTTCGCCGGCGACTCTTTTGATATATTTTGTCCTGACATCTCCGAATGCATTAGAGTAATAAGGTTTAAACTTTTACCAATATAGACATGTTAGATATCGTTAGAAAGCTTAGATTCTCCAGAATACAACCATCAACTTCATTTTATGGACACAATGAGCAACAAAGCATAATTAACACAGTTATAGCAGCATGGGAAAACATAAATATGAAAAAGCAGCTGCAACAATATATTTTTGAAGGCATACAGAAGCCATATTATAATCCAATCTTTCATTGATTATTACTCCACTCGTCCATAAGGGTCCACAGATTTAAAGTAATTCAGCGTTTTTATAATACAAATATTCCATGATAAGAAAACGGCCCCATAAAGTCTGTTTTTTGACATCAGAAAAGTTTGCTGGTCGTAGCTAATGCTCAGCATCTTGCTGATGTTTGTTATGTTTGTTTTTATCACCTTCCTGCCTACAAAAAAAAGTGTACGGCATCAATGTATGATTTGATTTGACTCAATCAAGAAGCGCTCGTGATACTTCAAGGGCTGTTCCTGTCAGCCAATGACATACCGAGCAGAGCTATATTACACCTGATAGAGTCCTGCTATTATTGGTTAATAAAATGTGCCCTGTTTGGCTTTGTAGCCAATGAAATGAGATGTCAAACAAGGATAAACATGGCTAATTTAAATAAAGTAGAGTCGTATTATCGGCTTGCACAACAGTGAAAGATACTCACATGTCAATCATCAAATGAAAATGTGATTTTTGGGGTAAAATTGTTGTGTAAAAGCAATAATCACTATTTGGAATAATTTGGCACATTTGGAGAGGTTTGGAGATGCTGGTGACACCAGAAGTTAAAAGTCCCATAGTGTCACGATTTGGTGTTGGATTGAGGACCCAAAAGCAGGGGCAAGTAGGCAGAGGTGAATTTAGGTGGGTTTAATGAGGTTCACAGGTACAGAGGCAGGAATAAAAAAATCCAACAAAAATAACAAACAAACCAGAACCAAGGAGACATCAGGGGAAACCAAACACTAGGAGCAAGGGAGAGACGAGGTAAGCAGACAGACGTTAGACGAGAATCCAGCAAACAGGAACTGAAGAGGAAGGGCTTTTAAAGGGGACAGAGACAAAGAGAGGGCTAACGAGAGGACTGAAAACAGGTGAGGAACAGAGCAGAAAACAGAGCTAGGGATAGAGGACACAAGAGGGCAGCAGAGGACAACAAATGGAAAACCTGGAAGACAGGAACTAACAAGAAAACAACAAAATAATAATTAAACACTAAAACAAGGAGCAAAGTAAAACTGAATACTTTAAATAAACATAACAAAACCAAGACACATAGGTCACATAGGTCTGGAACTGTTATACTTAGAGGTCTGAAATGATCTGCAGTTGTGGTTGACATAATGCAGAATAAATGTCAAACAATTACACGCCTATTATTAAGCATGTCTTTGTTACTGCTATTCAAAAAATACCTATTATTTTTTAGAAGAAAAAAAACAACGTTCAGTCATGTTTGAACTGATGCAGTTTATGCTGTATTTTCATTTATATTTTCAGACACTTCAAGATGTTATCTTTAAAATGATGTATCACACATGCAACTTGGGCTTACAGTTCCTTAGTAATATGGTTTTCTCTTTGGGTATGCAAAATTTGGTGGGTGTTTAAGTAAAGTCTGGATAACAATGTATTTGTGATAATACGCTTAGATTTATTTGCAAATAATTAAATAGACGTCATGGTCCAACATTTAAAAAAATGAATTCTATGTTAGTGAAAAAATTGAGATAACGGGAGTCACGTTTTTAAAATAATGCAGTTATGGAACCAATTAAGTCCCCAATAAGAGACAATGAAGATGGTTTTGTTTCTTTATCAGGATTTCCTTATATAATTGTAGAATTTTATGTCATTATCCATGTTAACAAACAAACACTTAACCTGTATTTTGTTAAAATTAAATATTTTTATAATTGGTGTTACAGAAAAAAATAATTAAAACACCCTGAAACCTGTTAAGTTAAACCCAGTTAATCACTCCTTTCACTACTTGTCAGTAATTTCTCCTCCAGCCAGTTATAACAAACCATTATGCTGCCATTGTTTGACAGTGATTTCAAATTCATCACAACTGCCGTGTATCTAAACTGCTGCTGTTTGAGCTCTTTGTGCTTAAAGTATCTGCTTAATAAATGATGTATCCTTGCGACAGGGTAACCCCCGGGAGTTGTTCCAGTTTGAGGAAGAACGATTCCCCAATATTCCTGCCCTGATCAGGATTTATGTGGGCGGGCGTCGGCCCATCTCTCAGGCTTCGGGGGCCATCATCTTCCACCCGATCAATCGAAGTCTTCCTTTGCGTGTCATCAGTGAACGCAACTTGGAGCTGAAAAACAACAGCGCTATAAGCAGAAGAGAAAATCGGTCTGGGAGCAACAAAAGACGCAGCCTGAGCTCCTCCCATAAGGACATGCTGCTGCTCATCAATCCCCTACTAAGGTTTGAGCAGAGATCTATAAGTGTGTGTTAATTATACAAATAGTATAGTATGAATACTAATAGTATGAATAGCAATAGTATAGCATGAAAAAGTTATGATGCAGACCTTCTGTCTTTATACATTGTTTCTGAATTAAGAGCCAATCCCTGTAAAATTTGTTATCTTAATTATTTCCCTTTCCTTGATTTTTTATTTTATTTTTTTTTTTTATCTAAAATCAAAAACTCTACGGAAGAGGATTAGGGCCACTAAAAAAAAAAAAAAAGTTAACTGATTTTTAAATTTTATTTCAGTTTAGTATGGGGAAAAAGTCAGAATTACGACTTTTTTCTCAGAATTCTGACTTTAATCTCAGAATTCTGACTTTAATCTCAGAATTCTGACTTTTTTTTATTGTCAGAATTCTGAGAAAAAAGTCAGAATTCTGAGAAAAAAGTTGGAATTCTGGGAAAAAAGTTGGAATTCTGACTATTTTCCCATAGTAAACTGAAATAAAATCACTTAACTGTTTTTTTCCCAGTGGCCCTAACCCTCTTCCGTAAAAACTCCCTGTAAAAGACCTTCAAAAAATAATTAGAAACTGGTGGTTGATAATGATTTTCAATATTAAGAGACAGTTTGGCTTCTTGAAAAAAATAAAACTAAATAAAATACCCTGGACATAACAGATAACATATTAGTGTATCTTGTATGTGTGACAGGAGTGGAAGTCAGCCTGCTAACCTGGAGAATGTTGGACGGAGGCCTTCACTTCAGTCTGCACAGTCTGACAGCAATCTACGGACAGGTACATTAACAACATTGGTTCAGCACATTCCTGTTTTTCTCAGGTTTTGATATCCAATAAATGACTATAATAAACTATTATTTTAGTGCTTTACACCCCACAGCTGGATATTTCATTTAGTTTTCTGCTTTCTTTCTACATTGCTGCCATATATAAATCAGATAATTTATGTCTGAGTCACGTCCTCTGGTAAAATAAACGTAGAAGAAATGCTAAAGGTGAACTGAACAGTCAAAAAAATTGTTTACCCCCAAAATACATTTTTTATAGCTTTTTTCTTTCTTTAATATGCACTTTTAGGGAAAAATATTATGCTTTTATTATAACATTAGTTTAAAGTAAAGCTGGGAGTTCTAAAAGCTGTTATGAGCCCTTTTTATTTGTCAGCCTGGCTGCTCCAGGTCCCCATCAACAGCCAGCTGCTGAGCAGATACTGAGTACATTCTCATTAGGGGTGATGGCCTCTCCTCTGTTTGTTTTATATGACTTGACCTTTGAAACAACCAATTTTCTTGTAAATGTAGTAGCCAGCTAACCCAATTTGGATGGAATTGACAATTGATTTCCCTAAATACACATGACAATCAGTAGAAATATAAATAAATACCCAGAAGACATCCACCAAATAACCATGGCAACAGTGCTGTCAGGCCAAAGGGACTTTGTTTGCACACCTCAGGGACATTTTTTACCGTCAACCAAAAACCTATTGTGTGTGACTGACTCATAGAAAAAGTGGCTAAAAATATAAACGTCTGTTTTTCACTGTATCAAGTCCAAATGATACTGTCTATCTGCATAATTGAGTTTGTTGTAGAGTAGTCCTGTTAATGTATTAACCTCACACATCTATTAGGAACATGTTGCCACACAAAATCATGAGAGGTGCAATATAGGTTAAAAACAAACGAGGATGTTACAAAAAAAAAAAAGCAACCTGCAGCCATCATCCACTGTGGCCGCTTGATGTGTGTGTTCTGTGACAGATTTGCGCATCTCAAACAGATTCATTAAAATGTGCTCGATTTACAAAAGCAAATGGATTTACAGATGGTCCTCTTATAGCTGTATGAGTACAATCATAGCTCTGATGGCATTTAAAATATTGGCTTCTTGCTTTAATCTGTAATTTTATGTAGTTTCAGGCACAGTTTATATAATATTTTAATTTTGTTTGGAAATAATTTATTTATCTGCCACCAATATTTTCAGGTAGAATTAAAGTGTATAGATTTATGTTCCTCAATGACCCACATTTGTTTGGTTGAAAACAGAAGAATATTTACAAATGAAGTTTTTTTCCTTTATTGTGGGGGAAGTGACATCATTATTTTATAGCTCAATGTAAATCAGTTTATTCATTAAGGTTTAACTCATAAAAGCTCAAACTCAGGAAAGACCAGGTTGGGTGCTTCTTGAGTTAAATAAAACTGAATGTAGTTAAAATTAGTGTACTGTGCATTAGTTTTGTGCATTATAATTACATTTTTTTATTGCAAAAGTTTGCCTTGCTGCAACATATTTTCACAATTTTATATCTCTGCAAACATTCATGAAATGCTCATTGTTGTACCTGATGATTTTTACCTAAAATATTAAAGCTCAAGTTAAATGAGATCCCTAAAAAAGTGAGTCAGAGAAGAAAGGCTATGGCTGACACTGAGTTCTTCTCTAATGTTTACTTTTAAGTGAATAAACAGATTTTCGCATCAAAGCTTCAATGGGAATTAAAATGAAAACTAAAATTTTTTTTATATTATTTTTATTTATATTTCAGCTCACTCTCCAGTGGTGTTCGGTGGGTTCTAATGATAAATTGCAGAGTTTTGCCTGCCAACCTTATAATCTACTCCAACGTGTGTTTAGTTGCGTTCATGAAGCTTTGTCATTTATTTTCTAGTAGTTTTGCTTTGCTAGGATAATTATAACAGGTTTTCTCCTTTATGACCGACTTGTTGATTATTCAGCTTGTAACATGTCCAATGCTGTGACAGAAAATTCTTTGTGGACAAAGCTGAAAGAAATGATTTCCTCCCCAAGAAACCTAGGACTTGAATTTGGTAGTATTAATGTTGTAAAACATTCTTAATATTACTAACAATAGGGTTTCTATGGACATCCTAATGTAATATTCAGAGCAGATCAAAGCACAGACAATCAAAAGGCTGTTGAAACCTTTACTATGACAAATAGTAGGTTAAAAAAGTACTACTTTACAATAGTGTTGCGCTGATGCCATTTTATCGGCCCTGATACCCGATATATGGCTGTGCAGTATCGGCGGATACCGATACCATCTGTTTGAAATTGATGTTTGTGCGTGTGTATTAGCCTGATAAGCCAGACTAAATGTAGGATTAAATGTGTTATTTAGTCTGGCCCTGATGAATGAGACATCGGAAGATTGTTGATGAGAACAGCCCGTTGTCTTTCAAATCATGTCTGTGCCTATTGGTCAACGCTCTGACCAATGAGCGCAACTGACTGTAAGTGTGACAGAAAGCTGGTGGGGGAGTGTAAACAAACAGCCTGTCAGTAAAACGGCGAATACGTCCTTCTTAAAAATTTATGAGCCTAGAGCCTCTTCCTGCTTACGTTTCAATGTAAACCCCAAATCTAATCCTTCCAAAACTGATTCCAAAGCTGAGTCAAACAGGAACTTTTCAATAGTTGTTGCCATCTTCCTTGTTGCGCTTTCTCCAGCGTCGCGCAGCTTTGTCGTCAAGCCCTCAAAACCTCGCCTGCTTTGCATCCAGAAATTCAAAACACATCTCTGCGTTGTGGTCGGCCAGACAGTTCTATGGCCTGGGGCATTGATCAAGGATAGACCGCTCGCAGGCAAAAATTATATTTGGCCGCTGGCGGGTGGGGCTAGTTTACTAGGCTATGTGTATATATATAAAGAACTGCATATTACTTGGATGTAAAATAATTGCCATCATGGCTTTGTCAAGCTGCTGCCTACCTTTGTGAAGCAGGAAAAAGGCTAATACAAAGTGAATCCAGTAGAACCTTATATTGCTTACCTGGCATGGGTGACAATAGTTAAATAAAATTGGCTCTCAAAATGGTATCGGTGCCCTATTTGTTAGTACTTGCCGATACCAATACCACCATTTTTGTGCTGGATTGGGGCCCCGCCCGATACTGGTGTCGGTATCGGTGCAACACTACTTTACAATCTGGATTACAGCACCAGGACCATATTTAGATGTTTAGTCTGATCACAGAATACATTTTTAAAGACAGGGTCTTTAAACATGAAAGTACTTACCAACTTTAATCTGCTTTTGCTGTTTTGGAGGAAAATGTTTTGCTTTGTCAACATCTGGTTTGAACTGCTTCTGTTCCTGTTTTCATTCAGGGCCTCCAGAGACCACCCAGCCAGAAGACACAGCCCCAGATCAAATTTCTCCTGTGTTTCGCACAGGCAGTGAACCCCTGCTGAGCCCCAGACCACATAAAACACTTCCTTTCCATCCAGGTAATAAACTATTGGGCTTTCCATCACTTAGGGAAATATTGCATCCACATAAACCAAATCTTTTGCTGCCTGCAGGTGGCGGTGCTACTTTGCGAGGTTCAGACGGGCAGCTGCATCCAAGAGCTCCTCCTAAACCCCTCAGAGTCTCAACTGTTTTTGCAAGTGCAACTCCTCCTCCTCCTAAAGACCTAGATGAAGACCCCTCATCATGCTACAGCGAGCTCAATATACAGGTAAAAAATCCTCTTTTTAGAGGATTTAGAAGTAAATCCTCTAAAAGGAGTATTTATCTTATTGATGTTTTCAGATCCCTCAGTCTCAGAAGAAAGGCCATGTGGACCGGCTGCGTGCAGAGGAGAAGTGGCAGAGCCGTGCTCGCATTACAGAAACTTCCTTTGGATTTTTGGAGGAAGAGAACAAGGAAGAATCCTCACAGCTGCAGTTTGAGAAAGAGCTTCTGAGGAAAGCAGCAGAGGAAGAAAGAGACTGGCATTTCGAAAGGCCTCAGGTGTGTATAAATAACATTCACTTCAGAATTAGAAGTCCTACTTCCATCTGATTCGAATACATGCAGTCATGAGCCACACCAGAAATTATTTTTCCACACCTGTTGTATGTTCTTATGGAACTGACTTGCCTTTTCACACCCCTTCATTGTCAAATAGACCAGCCTTTTATTACTTAAAGATGAAGACAAGACAGTAGTGACAAGGAAAGACATTCTAGTTTCTACCAAATAAATAATGCCTGCAGGACAACCCTTCCACTGCTTTACAGTAAGAATGATTTTAGCAGTTGTGATGAATAGTGTTTAGAATAGTGTTTCTTTAATCTTAACATTGGATCTATACAAATAACTTTCTATTATTATCACATCTGACCAGAGAATGAAATTTATATTCAACAACCAATATTTAAGATTGAAAAAAATCATAAAGTCATGCAAGCAGAATTTTTCAAGAGTTGGCTTCTGTAGCTGTTATAACATAAATGCTTTGCCTAAATGGACCTTTTGGTGGTTCTTTCTCTGCAAGAGTTGGGATAATCCTGTTGGATTTAATGCTTCTTCCAATGTCAGATAATGGATATCAGTGGTTCTCGGGATGCTTTATGCTGACAGAATACATTTGAATTCTGTAGATTTCTAGGTTTTAGTTCTACCATGAAGGTCTGCAGAGAATTATCATGATTGAATAGCTTGGTTTCTGCTCAACATGCATTGTTTGCTGTGAAACATTAGAAGGCCAAGTGTGTTTTACTGCAAAATATTATACATATTATACCATGTTCAGTAACATCTCAAGAATTACTAGTTAAATCAAATTCTCATCAGTTCAGTTTGAGTATAGTATCAAAAAATACAACTTTTTTTTTTATCTTAACACTCTGTAATTTATATAAGGAGTTCATTAACATTAATGTAGTTTTAATGCTGACATATTTTAGAAAGGGCATCAGTAGCCATCAATTTTCTATGCATCTACCAGTAATATGATTTCAATAGAATGGATTTTTTTTGCATTTACCTCAGAACTCAAAACTGAAAAGTCAGAAAGACTAAAAGTAAATTTAATGTTTTATGCAGTACTTTATACTTTTGAAGTGCATTTTAAAAACTGAAAGGCTGTAAGTATAAACAGTCAAAGTTAGAATGTTTTCCTAATATTGATGTAAGTAGTGCACATCATGACTTTAAAGGTCATAATACTATTGCTCCAACTTTCCAACGCATGGTTTTAACTTTGTAATTCACACCAGAACATATTTCATTGTAGTTCATGTGTAGTCAATTTATTCCAGTTAAAATGTATCGCTTGAAGGTTAAAACTTTATTTTTCCAAATAGAGCTGGAATGCCTCATTCTTTCTACAGTAAAATGCGTTTTGGGGTGAATAACTTTAGATTTAAAAAGCTGGTCTCTTAATTTTTATGAACAACATATTATTATTATTATTATTATTATTATTATTATTATTATTATTATTATTATTATTATTATTATTATTATTATTATTATTATTATTATTATTATTATTATTATTATTATTATTATTATCATTAAACATTTGAATTAGCCTGCAAAACCACTTTAAATGAATACAATAATTATTACAATATCTTAACGTAATATGGTTATATTTAGAAATTTAAAGCCGTTCACTAAATCAGATTCGATTTATTTTCTAAAAATGACAACTTTGCTATTAAAGCTATGGACTTGTTGACTCTATTGCAGATAGAAACATCGTCCTGTTTCCAGTTGGACCAGTTCAAGTCGCTGCTCTTGCCCGACCACAACAGACCTCTGGAGTCGAACATTCTCCTCACAGTCAAAGAGCTCTTTAGTGGTTCAGATGCCAAAACTCTCGCTCTTCATATGCTAAGTGTTGACTGTCAGGTAGGAATTGGCATTGGCACAAACATTTCAAAACTCTTTTTTTTTATTGTTTTTTATGTAATGAGAACGTGTTTTCAAATTTAATGTTACTCTGATTATTACATTATTGTTCAGCAACTTAAATAAAATCAGAAACACAGTTAAAACTCTGAGATCTTACCAAGTTTAATAATGTATTAAAATTCCTCTCCTGCAACAGTAGGAAAAAGGTGTTATCAGTTAAATTGATTATCAAAAAGTGTTGTTCATAGTTATTCCATCCATCCATCCATCCATCCATCCATCCATCCATCCATCCATCCATCCATCCATCCATCCATCCATCCATCCATCCATCCATCCATCCATCCATCCATCCATCCATCCAGAAAAAACATCATCACATATAAACTGTAATTGACTGAGAACTCCACACTGAAACAGGGCACAGATACCTATAAAATGTGTTTAAAAATAGTTTGAAATCAATCATTTGAACAATATTTAGAAAGCATAGCCCATTGAGATGACTTTTTGCAGGTTGCACGCATTGTTGGTGTGACTGATGAGCAGAAAAAGATTATGGGAGTAAATTCAGGACTGGAGCTTGTTACTCTGCCACATGGACATCAATTACGACAGGATTTGTTGGAAAGGTAATTGTCACTGATTCTCTTTTTGCTCTAAAACAGGGAAGATAAATACATTAGGCCATTATGAGAAATTCATCCAAAGCTGACCTGAATATTCCTCATAATGATTATGAGAATTATGCAGAGAAGATGGGTTATGATATCCTTTTTATTTTACAGTTTAAATCATCTGTCCTATCTCTTAAAACATCTTATGTTAAATTTGTTATACATTTGTATGCATTCTTACTATATAAACATGGTTTCCTTTCTTAGTACTAACTTTCTGTAAATATGTGTGTTTTATTTCTATTGTTTTCTATAGGCATCATCTGATAACCCTTGGTGTGGCAGTAGACATACTGGGTTGCACGGGTACAGTTAACCAGAGAGCAACTGTTTTACACAAAGTTATCATGTTGGCTCAGGCTCTGAAAGAAAATGTGCACAACCTCTTCTCCTTCTCAGCCGTTATGAAGGCTCTGGAGATGTCTCAGGTATTGTGGTTGTATACCCATTTGCTTGGGAGGATGCTAAAAACCCTAAGAGGTATTCATGTTTTCTGTCACTCTGCACATGTTTAGATTGTGCGGCTGGAGATGACGTGGCGAGCACTGAGGAGGAGCCATACAGAGAGTGCAGTTTTGTATGAGAAGAAACTCAAACCCTTCATGAAGTCCTTGAATGAGGGAGATGGTGAGTGTTTCCAGTAACAGAAAAAAGAAAAAACTTTTATTTGTTTATTAAATAATAGTAAAACTGCCAACAAGAACTGTGGAAACATGTTTAATTATTGTTTTTCGTATGGATGTATAATCAAACAAAAAGTTTAAAAGTTTTCTTATTCTTTGGGGGTTTGTGTTTTTAAACTAGGACAATTTGTATTTTCAGGAACATGAACAGGATGCAGGTTTCTCCTTCAAATGCTTACTTCATATTGTCTGATTTAGTAACAAATTCTTTAAATTATGGAAACATTTTTAATTTAAGATTTTAATTTGTCTCACACTATTTGGCCCTTGAGCCACACATTCGACATCAGTGAGCTAAACCATTTCACTCTAGTTTTGGTTGAATGCTAGAGGGTATGTACCAGCTGGAAGGTAAACCTTTTTTTCCCTCTTGGCAGGCCCCCCTACCCTGCTGAAGAAAAGTCTCCCCACAGCATAACACTGTCTCCTCCATGTTTCACATTGTGATTGTGTCTTTAGGGTGTTGCACATTCTGGGATTATTTTTATTTATTAGGTGGTTTCTAAAATACAACATATTAGTTAGCATAGTATAGTAAAGGGTAGTAAGAGTAGTGTAACAATGCATAGCAGTTTTTTTTTGTATTTTTTAAAAATACTGGATTCATCGCCTTTTTTCCCCTTAACAATTATGTTCTGCCGTGTTAGTCCGTAACATAAAATTCTACTAAAACACATACAAGTTTGTGGTTGCTATGTGACAATTTCTATTTCTATTACATAGTTCAAACAGAAAACCCAACTTTACACTTTGTAAGCTTCACTCCAGAGTCCAGAAGAGCTCCAAGGAGCATGTACAGATTTCAGAATAAAAGCCTGTAATTAATGTGAAATTCAGACCAAAACCAACTGATTCTCTAGGTTTTAAAACAGTTACCTGCCGCAATTTTCATTCTTTAGTAATATCATATATTTTCATAGTTATATTCTACAGTAGGTGAGTATTCTACAAACTCACGTCTGCATTGCTTCCCAAAAGGATAGAATCAAGCCAACTGTTTGTCCACTTGGTGCTTCCCTGCAATGTGTAGAGGATGTGTAAATTGAGTAATTTATTAGAATAGATGTGTGCTTGGTTCATAATTCAAAGATAAGTAGAATGGAGCGAGGTTCCGTGTAAAATTGAGATCAGGTTTTATTTACAAGGTTAGGAACTGCAGGCCAATAGATGCAATAACTAAATACTTAAAAAAAAAAAAAAAAAGTTAAATCACAAGGTTGCTTTACTAAACCATGAGGTGGCATTTATATTGTGGTAGCTATACTGACTGTCTCTCCATATGTTTTTGTCAAAAGTGTAAATATATTGAGAGCATTCTGTTTTCTGTGTTTTCAGTTAAATGTTTGCTCCTTCAATTACTTTAATTAAGAACATTCTGCATGGTGGGAAAAACACTTTAATAAGACCAAATGAAAAGTCAGTCTCTTTGTTTGCCTAAATACAAACATGGTAAAAAAAATATTTTGACTTAACTGAAAAGGGTTCTTTTATGAATTTAATGCTTCGACAAACTGCATTTAATTTGTCATTTCTCTCTGTTTTAAAAGGTCGTTTGACCAAAATTACCCAAAAAATTAAACCTCTTTGAAAATCCAAACAGCTGCCAATTGCATTAGCAACAAAATGAGAACAGACAGAAACTGTTTTTTTTTCTTTCTTTTTTTATTTTTTTAGCTTCTGTTGTGAATTTATATTCAATGCCCATCTAGGTTGGACGCCATACATTTGTTGTGAATAACTGTTACATCTTCAGATATCAAATGATGTGCTGTCAAGCTCAGAAATGGTGTCAGATGTTGTACATTTTACTTTGGTAGTAACTGGTGGGGTTCATGTTCCTCTGCAGATTCTGTAGTCGAGGGTCCCATTGCTGTGCCACACCTGGTTCCTCTTCTCATGGTGATGGAGGGTGAGGACCCAGTGGAAAACAGTGAGAGGGGCTGTCAGGCATTGTACGACGTCCTTCAGTCAGCTCGCAGTGCCGCCTTACACTCCCAATATTACCAAAAACACGCACAGTCCCTACTGACAGGTTTGCAAAAACGACTCCACATGACATTAACATGACATTCTTTGGATTATAAGTTAAGAGGACATTTATGAACATGGTTTGGGTGGAGGATTCTTTTCAAGAAATGTAACTGGGAGGGAATCAAGGAGACTTGAGGAGAACAGTATAATGCATCTAAAGCTGTTGGTCAGGTAATGTCTTAGTCAGCATTTGTTCAAAAAGTCCCTTACACGGACTAATTGTGTAAAAACTACCTTTCTACAGGGGATTTAAATTAATTTAAATGAAGACCTGCTCAATATTTAGTCCTTACAAAAGAGTTTTCTGACAGATGCTACACACTAATATTTATGCATGTGGTTCTTGTATAGAACTCATGTATATTAAGTCAATAAATATATAAATTAGTAAGTAAAATTAAAAAAAGCAGAGTTTAAAGAGTTACATATGCCAAAGTGCAGTTTACACTGCGAATATTGTTTTTTAAATGAATAAAAATGTCTTCAAATAAGTGTATTGAACCTAAATTTAAGTAGGAAAATAAGATGATCTGCCAATAAAGGGAGTATTTGTACCCTTAAAACAAGATAATTGTATGTTATTCGCTTGAGTTAAGAGACCGCATAAGTATGACTTATTTAAAGGGTGAATTGTCTTATTCCATTGTCAAATTGTCCAAATTACCTGCTCAATTCAAGAAAAAAATTAATTTAAGAAAATAATATTTAATTAGATATCAAGTTTTTGCAACGTAGAGTACTTGAAGCTTTATAATGGTGTACTTTCTGACCATGCTGTAAGTAGAAGCCCAGTTGCCTTAAGCATTTAGGATTGTGAAGTTTTCTGATCCAATGTCTTTTTCCCCTTTCCACCAGAAGGCTGGCAGCCGGTCCCTGAGCTGCTGGAGGCTTTCCGTACAGAGTTCGCCTTGCGGTTGTTCTGGGGTCAACATGGAGCGGGGGCGGACAAAAAGGAGCGATATGAGAAGTTCGACAAGATCCTTTGTGTTCTCTCGGATAAACTGGAACCTGTTGAGGTCACTCCACAACAGTCATAACTCCAAGAGGTAGCTGGCAGACAAACCTCCTCCTTAGCAGAAAAAGGACAGACATTGTTTTAACTGAGCCTTGATTTCTTCAGAAACAAATATCTGTGTTATAAGATCTTAACTTTATGAGATGAGAGACTCTTTGTAAGGTTTTTCACGTGACTACTAATGTGACCAGACTTTTGCTGTTTTATTACTTGAGATTTTATTTGTGCAACTTGAATGTTTTCTAGCTGAGATTTTGCTCTTTGGAACTTCATTGTAAATAATATCTTTTTTTATTTTGAGGTTAGAGTTGCAATAAAGAAACACAAAAGATAGATGATGTCTCACTTCATAATTTTAAAGGTTTCTGAGTAACATTTGCTAAATGTCATGTACAGAAAATAATATCAACTGGGGTAACTGTGAGAGAAGGAAGAGGATTTAACCTGATGCGGCTTAGAGAGAAGGAGAAGTTCCAGACAGGAGATGAATCTTAAATCCTTCATTTCCTCTGTTGGGAATGTCTTGCTTCCAGTTGCAACTTATGTATTCCACACTGGGCTGTGTTGACCATCTGGATTTCCAGTTAGGGTATGTTGGTGGTTTGCATCCTTTATTAAAGAAAAGCTTTGTGCAGAGGCTTTGAGCGTATCAACACAAAACAGGAAGAGAAACAAAGAAATCTAAGTTTTTTTTTGTCCTGGTGAGCAGCTTCATCGTTTAAATTCAGCATGTTAGCTTTAATATTACCTTCCTTTCTAATATAGCAAAAGGTCACTCTTTTTAAAGTTTTGACAAAAGTTTAAATTATGAAATAAAGAAATTACTCTTTTTATCTGTCAGCTACACTGCCTTGTATTAATCGTCTGTCAGCCAAATACTTTTCATTGAGGTTCTGCATGGTAGGCACTCGATAGATGTCAAGGGAAACCTAAACTGTGATTGATTTTCAACATATTGTTAAATTACAAAATAAAATTGTGTTCAATCTTATTCATGAACAAAACAACATTTAAGAACTTTATTCTTGTAGAATATGTTTTCAGCTTGTTTTCTAATTAACAATTAGTTCATTGCAGCTAAATTCTTTTTTTTTATTATTATTATTTTACCTTAAACATTTAGATATTCTATTTTTCAAAAAGCATGTTGTTAAAATGGACCTCAGATACAAATAAAACGGAAAATTCTATCTAAAATTAATCTTGCAAAGCTAAAATGCTTAAGTCAGAATTAATTAAACCGGTTCAGCAAATGAAAAACAATTCTATAATAAAGTAGTCAGGTACCATTAGCAAATAAATCAACTTTTAAAATATTTTCTAAATTATATTTTTACAAAAATAAGTAAGGGGCTCCTTGAACAGCAAATGAAGAACAGGACAGGACTTTATGTAGGTGATCTAAATCCCCCTAAATGCCTCTCTAAGAATACTGATGGATAAAGAATAATACTAGTTGAAAAAAAACTTTGACACCTTATAAAAATTAAAGCATGTTTATCCAGAACAGCTCTTTGTTATATCTCACAAAGTATCTCTGTGCAGAGATTCAAATTCAAAAGTGTATCTGTGTCAAAAACATCAAAATGTTATCATTTGCATTTATTTATAGATTCTAATGTCTGACCTTTATTTAAATCTAACTTTAAACAGAGTTTAATTACTTCCTGGATCACATTAGGAAAGTATCTTAGATTTGTGAAAATAAGGACACTTCTTAAAACATATTCTTATCCATTATAAAGACACGTGACAAAAAAAATATTCAAACCCTCATAACTGCCAATAGCATTTATTTGTATTCACTCCTTCCAGTTTAGTGGTTTTATCCAGTTAAAAGACATAAAGGCACATTTAAGGAATGAGTCTCACATTATAGCATCAGGAAAATTGTTTAAGCAGAAAGCTACAAAATAAAGTTCAGCAGGGTATTAGAACAAAAAAAAAGTTACAGTCACATAGAAATATATATTGTGTATATATATATATATATATATATATATATATATATATGAACTATAAACAAATAAAATATTATAATGCTTACCACAAGCAACATTAAAAATATCCATACCCCTTTAACTTCTCTACTTTTTGTGTAAAAGTTGTGCTCAAAGAAGTGGAATAACAGGCGTGTATTTTCACCCAAAGCAAATCCAGAGTCTGTAAACAGATGGTAAACGTCTGCAAGTCTGTCAGCGTGGATGGAACAGTCTGTGAGCAACAGTTTTCAGGATGGCTTAATAGGTTAACTGTAGTGCTCGTTCCAGTTTAAGATCATGAAATGACCAGTGCTCCATCAGATGTTCAAGCATAACTAATTCTCAAATCATTCTGACGTCTTTACAAAAGATCTGGTAATTTACAAATACAGACCACACTTCAAATTTGGATTTGTTAAGGAAGAAATAAAAGCTTTCTAATATTGTTCTTTCACGTCAGAATAATGGAGTTTGTTTTTAACAGTTAAACATTGTAGCAAGGTGGTGGTCCATGGATTAAGCGTACGACTCATGTATGTGACATCACAGGTTGGAGTCCATGATTAGTGATCTTTGCTGCATGTCTTTTCTTTCTCTACTCCCATTTCCTGTCGGGCTACTTTTAAAAATAAAGGCCACTAGAGCCCAAAAGCATCAAATCATTAAAATGGGAGAAGTTTATGGTTTTAACATGATAAAAGTATTGAAAAATTGAAGGGGTTTGAATACTTTAACAAGCCACTATATAACAGCTCTAATGTCATCAATGTGACACAAAGTTAAAGCTACAGTGTGTAATAATTACAGGCATATAAAGTCAGAAATTTAATATATTATACATAACTATGTTATTTATCATCACCTATGAGCTCAGCCTTTTAACCATAATATTTGCGTTGCCTTAGAATTCGTTATTTATAATTACATAGGAGCGGGTCTCGCAGCCATGGAGGCTGACATCTTTGCGCTACGGCAAGCGCAGAGGCAACAAACTAGCGATTGCGAGATCTCCCATGACGCTCAAAAATAACTACGGCAAGTTGAGAGAGATTAACTGAGACGGTACTGAACAGTAGATGGCAGTATTATGCCTGAGAAGCGTTTAGTCTGCCTGAAACCAAAGAAGAAGAAGAAGCAGGTATACTGCGCCTCAGTAACAAGAAAGGTGAACAAGGCGGCAGGCGTGAGTGACTTTGCAAACTGTTTGGCACTGTGTGGCCAAACATCAGACGAATGGAGGATCATGCCTACTCTGTATCACAACGAAAAGCGGCGGACACCGAACCCCCGTCATCTAAGAAGCGGAAACACGACGAGAATAAACGCAAGCGTGACAAGAAACGGCAAAAAACACGGATCAACATTGGCACGGCATTTACACGATGGAAGTCACTGATGGAGGAAAAAGGTTTTCAAAGTGACGCTCAAGTTGCCAGTTTTCTCTTGGACAGGTAATTAATCCTACACACACAATTGTCTAATATCACTGCAGTTTTTGGAGTACAGGATGCTCAGACCTGTCTAAAACAATAACATGCTGCGTGATGATGCTGTTACTCTCCAGTATACTTATTCAGCAACGTCCCTGACGTTTCACAGGTAATGATTCAGTAATTTTCTGTAAAATAATTTTCTGGATATATACCTCGGTTACTTCTCTCCGGCTCCTTTGGAGATCTTCAAGCCTTTCCTCCTCTGCTCTCACCCCGCTGGCTCCCCTCTCTCGCCTGGCCCTAGCTGCACGGCCTCCCTGCCTTCGCCCTCCTCCTCTCCCTCTCCCTCGCGTTGTAACCCCCGTGCCACCAAAATGACTTGGACTCTGTAAACGGGGGATATATATTCTTCCAGCGAACACAATCTCGCTGTTAAACTAATGACTACAATTACTTCGTCTGTTTATATCACCATGCAAAGCAGCTCACCAAGACGTCACAACGATGTAGAAAAAATAACGGGTATATTTATTATCTTAAGTCTACATGAAATCTATACCCTACACAGACTAATGAAATACTATCTGTAAAATTATCTATGTAAACAAACCTCATCACTTGAAAGGGTAGGTGATGTGGACGTCGTAGAAGAAATTTTGTCCCGTAACGCTCGCCGTACTATTGGGGGGGAGAAGCGGTGGGGGGGGGATGTTCATGTTGCTGCGGTCTGTAGTCTGACCGCTAGATGTCGCTGAAAATTACACACTGTAGCTTTAAGGCAACATTCTGAAGATCTGTCCTATTTTTTAAATGCAGGAAAATGGATAAGTATCACACCAGACTGATATGCATATTGAGACAGCATTCCATGCCACAGAGAGCGGAGATATTGTAATCAGCCTTAATACCTTCACATTCATCTCACTGTTATCATCTCTGGCTGAGATAAAACACAAGTCGACAGCAGCTACTATCTTCTTCCGTGACTTTGTGTTGAACTCTGGCTCTTTAACTGTCCTTAACAAACTCTCTGAAGGAGGTTAAGGTGTGACTCTGACATAGGATGTAGGTATATAGCCCTCCTCTCCATTAGCTCTGAGGACTCTCATCCATCCGTCTCCTTTATCCTGCTCCATGACACTCAGCTGCTCTCCTTCATTAATAGAAATGGTCCCCGCACTGTTGCCTACAGCCAAAGATGTAAAATATATATTTAATATAAGCAGATTTATTCATGTAGAAAAACAACTAGTGAATCACAGGTGTACCTTTGAAGGTGTAGAGCGCAGTGCATTGGCCAACTGGGCTTTCAACGTCTTCAAACTCGTCATCAAACTCTGTGTAGACGTTTCCTAATGAGTTCTGGGTAGCTGTTCCACTGAAAGAGAACAAAACAATGTTCACAAAATGAATTCCTATTCATTTAATGGCTGCAAATTCATAACATTGACCTTGGAAATAAAAGTATTAAAATAAATATTTGTTGTAGATTATTTAGCTTGTTGAATTAGACAGGGTAAACATCAAAGTTCACAAAAAAATGTAAAGAAAACCGGTAGTGCAAGCAGAATTTATTTCATGTAATCAAACTGGGGATTGGGAAAAGAGAAGAGGCATGCAAAGAAGTTCCCAAGATCAAGAATGGAACCCCAGATGACTGCTCTGACAAATAATAGTCACTTAATGTGGGACACATAGTCTACCTCTCAACCGCACACCAACCCATATGTGCCTTTTTTATCCCTGAGTTTCAGGGTCTCTTAAAAGTTCAGTATTATCTTTGCCATGAACATCTAATGTGTTTCTAAATATTAATCAAATTTCCCTTTGCCTCTGGAAATATAAAGATGACATAAAGCTACAGCCAAATTAATCAATTTATTGTATTTTGAATCATAAATCTCATGCTTTTGCTTTTTCAAACTTTAATATTTCAAGTTCATCAAACAAATGATCATCAAATTATACAGAATTTGGAATGATTTTGGTACTTTTTTTATGCCTGTGTCCCCTGATTATATATATATATATATATATATATATATATATATATATATATATATATATATATATATATATATATATATATATATATATATATATATATATTTACCTATATTTATATATACTCTAACTATGGGGGCAATCTTGAACTACTCCTATTTAACATCCAGCCATCAGTGGTGTTAAATAGGAGGAGATCAATGAGCAAAACACAAATAAAATCAAGCCAACAGAAGCTGGATGGAGAGTTCCTATGATGCACAATAAATATTAATAACAACTATTTTGTATTACATACCAGCATTTAAATTATATCTGTGAATAATGGGTCTAAATAATTCATGTTTAATATAAATGAAAAATGGAAGAGGCTTCATGCCAGAGGCAGTTTATTAAAGATCCAAAATATTCAAGAGATTAAGAGACATCTAAATGTAATGAGCCGATGCAGTAAAAAAGGAACCATTTTCTTCATATTTCCTTCATATGAAGCATTATAGACAAAGTCTATAGTTAAAAAAAAAAGGATTCCATGGCAGGGAAAGGAGAATAATCTATTAGTCATGTACACTCCCTGTGTACACTACATGTAAATACAGATTATGCAGGACTTCTATGTGATCCTTTTCATAACCCTATACTGCTCTGTTTCATCCTCATCTTTTATCCCTTCTTTTATCCCTGTTTAACCAGATACTAGCAAATATGATCAAAATATTGTACAGTGGGTTATTGTAGGCTTACTACACAAAACTCTGTCTTTACAGTTTTTATTTCAGACTATGTTGTTGACTTTATGCCTGTGTAAATCCTAAGTCATCTGACATATCATGGCCACCATAAAACAGACGTAAATTGGAGGCAACTGAACTTTAAAGACATTTTTTTGAAGACGTATCGACACCTATCCAGGGGTCTTGGTCAGTTCTGTGGGCTCTCACCAGAGCAATCTGTGGTTAGAGTGCTGATGTATTTAACAGCATGAACATCCAACCTCATGCAAACATTCCAAGTCAGACATAAATCAAATAACCACTCCTTCTTCTGGACAGATGGAGCATTTTGTTGGGCATGGGCTATGTGGTTGGTCTTTTGAATCATGATAGGAGTGCTTATGTAATTGTTTTAAAATCACTTTTATGGAACTCATTTCAAATAAATTATATGAGTTGTCCCAAGCCAACAGAATTGACACAGACTGCTGAAGAAATGTTGAAACATCTTAAAAAAAACAAAAGCAAATACCTCTGTCTGCCAATATAAGCCTGCTTTGTCACTGTTATCTTTTAATCTGATTTTAATTAGTAAACCATCAATCAATTTTCTATATCCACTTAGCCAGGGCTAGGGATGCTATAAGACTGGATGAGTTGGTACATAACCTTTACGGGTCAATAGCCCACAACAGAGACACACATGCTGCTATCTTAGGGAAATATACTAAACATGTATGGTTTTGGATGGTAAAAGAAGTCAAAGTGGAAAGAAAGACCTAAACTGCACATCCTGCAGGTTTGAAATCAGGGCCCTTTTAAGTCGCAGCAGTCTGTCACATGGACTGAGTTGATTATTTCTCAAGTTTAACCTATGAAAAAATACCAAATATCAAAGTTCAATATACAAAAAAAAAAAAAAAAATCATAACTTATTACCAATAAGGTGATAACCAAATAGCTATTGGCTCAAAACTTGGAAAAAAATAAACTGTGCTCTATCTTTCATGGATTTTTACCGATTTCCTAAAGACCTAGTTTTAAGTTACAATTCATCTTTGGTAGTTGTTTTTGTTTTTAGTCTAACGTCTCCTCCTCCATCCAACTTTTAACCTAACATTGCACATTATAACACAGAGGTGCATAACCTGATCAGAAATAGGCAAAAAGCTGACTAAGTAAAAAAAATCGTATAATTTGAAATGCATGTGAAAGTCACACCAACTACTTTACAAGATTACTAGAAATTCAGGCTCCATGGAAGTAAAAATCGAAACAAATCTTTAAAATGAAGATCTTACCCAAACTGAGAGTTATTGTTGGTGGTGTGTAAAGAGTCCTCTACTCCCACTGCCTCTGATAACCATGTCTGTGAGAAATCAACAGGTCAGATTTGATTAAATCACACAGCATTTTGCCCATATGCACATGTGTGGTTTGTGTAAGAACCTCATATTTAGCGAGCTCCCCCCTCAGACGGCCAATATTTTGATTTGTTTGCGTGATTTGGGGCTCCAAACTTTGGGCGTCACCCATCTGTGGATTTTGCTCGTACACGCCCCTCATCTTGTCCAGAGCCTCGCTGAAATCAAACAGACAGTGAGATGGGTTATTTTGGAGGACATTTCTGTGTCAATGAGGAAAGCGTCATTTGACAGTGGACTTACACGTAGGAATGATGCGTTCAGAGGACATAATGGATGACTGTATTGCATTACTACGGTCGTATATCTTTAGGTTTATCTAAGACAAAATAGTTTTTCTGTCCACTTCTAAGAGCCTGCTTACACTCCCACTTTGGTTTCAACTGATTATTTTACCTTCAGTAATCTATTCTGTTATTTTAATACTACAATCTGTTATCACAGACTGCTGTAATAATATCACGCTGTTTTCACCTCTGGTCCTGTTCCTTTGTCAGTTCTTTGGTGATATCTTCGATCTTCGCCTGCAGCTTCTTCTTCCTCTGCTCTGGAGGAAGGTGGGAGAAGTCCTCCGCAGGAGGAGGCTACACATACAGAGGCAATGCAACAACGCAAATGAATGTGACGTGTCCAAAACACAATGAAAAGTCCCCTGTAGAAGTGTTCATGCTCCTAAAACTTTTCCACAGCTAGTCATTTTCCAAAAACCAGTTTAAATTTTTTTTGTAATGGTATTTCATGTAGTAGGTCAGCACAAGGTAGGTCATAACTACAAAGCGGATGGGAAATGTAATGAGGTTTCCATAATTTTTGGAAACAAACTTAAAAATGTAGCTGGCATTCACATTCAGCCAACTGAGTAGGCTGAATTTAGGGGAGCATCCTTTCACTGCAGTTATCATATATTTGAACATATGTCTTTATAGACTGACATTTTTGCCAACTCTTTTCTTTACAATCCTTCAACCTCTGTGAGATTAATTGATAATTGTCTTTGATCATAAGGTTCCAAGTCTTGTAAGAGATTCATAGTTGGATTTAGGTCTGGTATTTGACCGGATCATTCTAAAACATGGAAATGCTTTAATCTGCTTTTCCTTGGGCTCTATCTCCCTATCAACTTGACCAACGCTCTCGCAATGCTGAACTAAAGCATGACTACAGTATGCTGACATTATTACGTCCCAATTTTGGGATGCTGCGTTCAGAGGGATGTACATGTAAATCTCTTGCTACAAACAGCATTATGCATGTTGGTCAAAATGTTGGCTTGTTTTACTCTCCTTGCTCCCCTGTGTAGGTAAATTGTGGTTTATTAAACAGTTATTTGTGAGATATTCAAAACTTTGATTTTTTATTTCACAATCAAACCCTGCTTTAAAAACTCTTCACAACTTTGTCCCTGGCTCATCTGCTGTCTTACTAGATCCTGTTTTTACTCAATGTTCTGTAGCAAACACCTGAGTCCTTTACATCCATCCATCCATCTTCTTCTACGTATCCGGGGTCGGGTCACGGGGGTTGCGGCTTTGGTAGGGAGGAGCAGATGCCCCTCTCCCCAGCCACTCTGGCCAGCTCCTCTGTGGGATTCCCAAGGCATTCCCACGCCAGCCAAGAAACATAGTCCTTCCAGCATGCTCTGGATCTCCCTCTGGGTCTCCTCCCGGTGGGACATGCCCAGAACATCTCACCTGGGAGACGTCCAGGAGGCATCCTAACCAGATGCTCAAGCCACCTCAACTGGCTCCTCTCAACGAGGAGGAGCAGCGGCTCTACTCTGAGTCCTCCCCGGATGACTGAGCTCCTCATCCTATCTCTAACCCCGAAAACCCACATCCTCCGTTACCACCCTACTCCGCTCTAGACCATCTGCGCAAAGCAAAGCCTACAGCCTCCACAGTCCTGCCCGTCTTGCTGCGCTCCGGCTTCATTGAAGCTCGAGGAGAGCGTGCGCTACATTATTATTCAATTCATAGGAGCAAAACATGCTGTAATGAATGCTGGGTGCAGAGGAGTAGTCGTGGATGTGATGAACATGACTGCACAAGTACTCCGCACAACGTACGAGAGCGGGGCGGAGCGCTGACGGAGGATGTGGAATCTGGGGATAAGGGAGAGGCCAGACACAATATGGAGAAATCTAATTTCGGCCGCTTATATCCGGGATCTCAATCTTTGGGTCATGACCAAAAGCTCATGACTGTAGATGAGGGTAGGAACGTAGATCTACCAATAAATCGAGAGCTTTGCCTTTTGGCTCAGCTCTCCCTTTACCACAACGTTCCGATATAGCGCCCACTACTGGCATTTACAAAGCAGCTCATACTAAATACTAAACTATGTTATCATCTGTCTGGTTGTAGAGAATTAAAGCAGCCTGTATCTTTTTGTTTCCTCTTCAGAAATGCAAACTACTTTGTGTTGCCCTAGTACATGAAATTAAAGAAAAATACACTGACACCAGTGTAGCATTTTAGCAAAACATGTAAAAGTTTTAGAGGCATGGGCTCTTAGGACAAGGAAGGGAAAAAAGATGCCCATCTCATTCATGTCTGGAAAAACATCTAAGTTAAAGCTCCAAAAAGAGGAAAACACTGAAACAGAATCATAAAGATTAAGTGAGAATTACCGTACATCCCCTCATATAATTTATTGTGATTAACCCAGAGAAACAAAACAACAACAAAAAACAAACAAACAAAACATTGATGATTTGGTCTGGTTTATGGAGGAAATAAAACTCAGACTAAACCAACAAGGACATCTGTCCCACCTGTGATGTCATACAAATATACAAAAAAGGATAAAAGAAAATAATAAGGTTTTTTTTTTCTATGAGCCCTTGGGCAACATTCAAACTCTGACAAAGCAATATTTATGATCTTTCTTTCTGAAAATGTCTATTTAGTATCCCTCTGTGTTATTTCTTTATCTCCCATCTTTACCACAATCATTTAACGCCCTATTTTATTAATTCTTATTTTTTATGTCTAAATTTGCAACTGTTAAAATTTCTTCACTGTTACTTTCCAACATCTGAGTAACAATTATACCTTTTTCCACATATTTATTTATATTTAAATCCTTATGATTAACTAAGATAATAGTACATGCTTTTAGTTTGGACTGACCGTTAAAATCAAAGGGTTTACTGAACATTTTATAAAGATCTCTATGACTATCTTGAATAGCAGAGCATGAGTTTAACAGGGTTCCTACAGCATAAGGCAAGTTAAATTCAAGACTTTTTAAGACTTTTTAATGCCACTTGAAATAAAAATGTAAGACCAAATTCACAAGAAACACAAGAAAAACCCTCTTGCGACAACTTTACCCAAAGGTTTATTTTAATATAAACCACTGCACTAATGTTTCAAATTTTAAAAAGCTTCCCATACAGGAAGAAAGCTAAAAACACACAAATGACAGATATATTTTAACAATTAGTTAACTGAATTCACAAACTTTGTTTTAGCAGGGAACAAAACAAATCAGTTTTAAAGCCACAACATAACCAGTGCTAAGTCATTTTTTAAGCTATTTTTCTTTGTATCGTTTTCTTAGTATGTTTGATTTGGTGATAAGTGGAGGCGTTGCAGAGACAAGGGATGAACAAAACTAAGAACTGTTTCTTAGTAACTTGATTTTGGTAACTTGATTTTGACGCTTTGTGTTTCGTGCTTCGCATGTGCGACTCCACTGCCTTAATTCCCATCGTTCCGAGCTTGAATGACTTCTTAGACAAAATACACTGTGCCTCATGTATGTTCCCTGGTTTTAGCCATGGAGAAAACTCTCGGCTGGAGCCAATTTTGGTTACATTTACACTTGCTCATATTTTCCAGACAAAAAGTTAATGGCGCATCTCCCAAATGTCCTGGCCGCAACAATGCTTTTATTGGTTCCGCTATCGGGACGGAACCAATAAGGGCGAGCCGTTATTTTTTTTTAAATAAATAAAAAAAATTCAAATTTTATTGAATTATTAAGATTACAAAAATAAATCGTAATAAAAATAATTCTATTTATGATGTTTTAAAAATTAAGACCTACGAAAGACTGATTTAAGACATTTTAATACCAATTAAGGCCTTAGTTTTATTTTGAAGAATTTGATGAAAATGGCTGCAAAATAAGACAGAAGTTCTTCTACAAATCTGCATAATAAGTTAATCTTAAATGGCTGTACTGTTTAACTGTACAGACTTAAGATGATTTAATTTAATGGATCTGAATCCTACTATAAGCTTCAATTGTATGAACAAATTAGATTAATTGAACTGAATTTTGTGCCAAATTAAATTCTGTTTGACTGGAAAGATGCATCTTTTATATTTTGGATTGAAACGTCCTTTTAAGTGGGAGTAATTGTAAAGTGGTGCTATACAGAGTTGTGCATTAGTTAGAATGAGGACTGAGATTTCAGGGTAGTGTCACAATCACAGAGGGATGTCTTGCATTAAAACATGCAGAAAGCTTTAAGTAGACCAGTGTCAAAACCATGAGAAGTGGAAAATAAAGAAAGCTATTATTATAAGTTTCAAGTTATAACAAACACTGTCATTTCAATTTTTAACCATAAAAGCCTAAATGAAATTAGAATTTACAAGTAATGTTTTACTCTCAGACTACCTTATGTTTGTCAGAAACACCAATTTGAATTTGATATCAAAACTAAAACAGATTAAGACATTTTTATGGCATCACAGGTAAAAGCATGATCACAAACAAAATCAGACATCCAATTTTAAAAGTAAACTCACTATGGCAGGGTGAATTAAATAGTAACTCCACCTAAATGGATAATCCTTTGCTCACACATCATGATGACATTGCGATACTTTTCTTCAGATAACAATTATAAAGGGTGTTTAAATGGGTTCAATGGTTTTAGCTTTAGCTACTAATTAGCTTTAACTTTTGAATTTTGGTTTTGTGGAGATATTGTCAGCAGTCATTATTTTACCTTCAGCAAAAACTATGTATAAGAAACTATGCTTAAGATGTTCTGTTTGGCAAAATACTCGGGTTTTCCATGTGACAAAGTTTGTAGAAGCTAAAGGATGACCATATCTTTTAGAGCAAATACCCAGAATTCAAGACAAGAAGCCAAAAGAAGCTAAAGTAGGACAAATGCATTTGAAAAAATATGAAAGGTTTCAGGCTGGAGCTAAATAAAAGTGGCATAAATCGACCTTTCAACTTGTCCATCTCAAACAGGCTGTTAGGTTAACTCTTATAGAAAAAGACTGAGATAGTCAAACTGATATAATTTATGCTTTGACTTTGTAACAAATACTAATTAGATTTAACATTAGGATCAACTTCATGGTACTGTCTTATATCCCTTTTGGTGCAAAAACAGCCCTGACCTATCAGAGGCCTGGACTTCACTCAGCCCCTAAAGGTGCGCTGTTGTATCTCTGCCAAAATTTTAGAAGCCGACCAAAAGTTCTTTACATTACGAGGTGGAGCCTCTGTGGATGGTGCTGCTCTGTCTAGTTTATCCCACAAACATTCAGTTGAATAAGATTTTGGGTTTTATTTTATTGCAGAGAACATTGTCCTATTTAAATAAGTCCATGTCATGATCTGGCCTGTTTGCTCCTCCCTAATTAGTAATTCCTCTCACCTGCCCTCTTCCTTCCCTGCCCTCAATTATAATTTATTCCCCTCACCTGTATCCTCTGGTTTATATTCAGTCAGCCTGAGCATTCAGTGCCAGATCATTGCTTGTCTTTCTGTCAGTCTTTCTGTTCAGTTTTTATTTGGTTCATGTCCTGGATCCTAGCTGCCAGTGGAAAGAGGGTTTTAGTGTTTGTCTCGTCTCCTGATCGTCCACTGTTCCTCCCCTGCGGAGTCCTCTGGGTTTTTGGCTCATTATGGGGGGGGGGGGGTTCAGTTTTTATCTAAGTAAGCCTGGCTCCTGGGTGGAGACCAGTTTAAAGTCTGCTTCAAGTTCCGGTTCCTACGTCCTGTCTCGGCTACCCTCTTCCACTGTGCCTGCCTGTCTGCACCTGATCCTGTCTGCTCCTGTGCGTGACCACCTGGTCATGCTTCTGGTCCCAGTCTGACTTTGAACCCTTCTGGAAGCCTGTGCATGTCTGGAAGTCTGGATCCTGCCACCTGTCTCTGTTCCTGCCTGATCTGGACCCTGCCTGTTCCTGTCTGTTCTGGATCCCTCACCAGGATCAGCTTCCAGCATCACCCCTGGGACTGCAGCACTGGGGACACTCGTGGTCTGGACTGTTAAACCAGGTAAGTGACCAACCCAGATAATCATATATCAGTTTATCGTGGTCACTTACCTGTGTTTCCTCCCCTAGAGTGTCTGAGATTGGGCGGTGCCCCGTCCCCCCGCCTGCAGTGTCCGCGAGCCACAGCTCCACTTTGTTTTGTTTTATTTTAATAAACCTTTTTAACTTTCCTACTGACTGTCTCTCCTGAATACTGGGTCCATCTGTCCTCGGTTCTTGACAGTCCAAGCTATCAGGAACTACTGTAAAGAAATTATGCAACATTCCTTAAGAAGGTGTTGTAAATGACGTATACCTGGATGGATGAACTCTGCCATAACTATTCCAAAAGTGTTAGAATGCCTCCAGCATCGATATGTTGACCCAATTTTCCTGCTTTTAACACATTAGCTTCAGGATTAAAAAAAAAATCTTCTTATCCCACCAACTACAATGTTATGCTGTTATACATCTGCAGCAGACACAGTATTCCTTTTTGAAGTAAAGTGGCCATTCAGAAGACTTTTTTCACTTTTGCAATTATTAAAAATTTCAGCCTCAAATGATTTGGTTTGCATGCATCCGGGGAATTTGATGAATCTGTTTATTTTCTGAGCAGAACATTTACTGTGGAGTTACTTTTCAAATCCCCAACCCAAGGTATCCAGCACCAGATAGTGTTAACCAACACCTTTATATCCTTCTGAAGATGAGCATTACCATGTGTTTTTCAGCAAGCGTTATCTAGATAGGGAGAAATAATGACTCGGTATGAGATGGAGGTACACAAATCAAGCTCATGATAAACAGTTTTAACAAGGCAATTAACTACCAGGTGCTCCAGGTGGGAACTTAGACTTGAAAATATCAGAAATAGGCTTTTTTTTTTTTAACCAACCAAGTTGTATGAAAGAGAGAATCCCGCTTGGAAGTTTGATTTAACTCCCTCAGACTGACTGAAAGAGGGAAGTATGGCATATTTGAGAAAAGAGTAGAGAACGCTGGGAAATTTGGAAAAGATAGAAAAACTGAGCAGCAAACTGAAGAAGAGATTTTATAAAGGCAATATAGAGGGATTGCTGCAGTGGAAAATATAAGAAATATTTGAAGCAGAAAAAATTCAAAGTTTGAAAAAATGAAAGGGAAGCTTCGGGAGCATGTCTGTGCAGCAAACTGGAATAAGAATTTGCCCCGAGCAAAATTGTTGGTTGAAAGATATGAGTGTGTTAAAAAGTGTGCGTACATTTGTTTTTAAATGCATTGTGACAGAAGATAGTGTGTTACTTATTTCTGGCTCCTAAAGGAACCAGCAGAGGAAAGATAAGGAAAAAAAGCCATGTTATCAAAAATGTAATTTTCAAAAGAGTACACTGTATTAAGATGTTCACAGGACAACAGCTCTATCTGACTACAGAAAAAAGATAAGCTAATTAATATTTATATATCCTTATCCAAATGGGAAGCAGGTGGGTAAAACAATGTTGATATCTGTTTCATTCTCCCCTATATACAGTATATATATTATATATATCCAATAATGTCAGGTTCACCTTGTGTTTCTTGAAGATCTTGTGCTTTCGTCCTTTCAGGGGGTTGAGGCTAGATTCTGAGTTTGATGGTTTGACGCCATGGGAGTAGTCTTCAAACTCCACATCTGCAGGTCTTTCAAAGCCAGACTTGTGTTGCTCTATTAAAAGTTTTGAGTCCTGTAAGAAGTCAGAGTCAAAGATAGGATGAGGGCATACAAGTTTGTACTAGGGCTAACAATTAATCAGATGAATTGTGATTAATTGATAATGGAAATAATCATCAACTACTTTAGAAACTGATTAATTGTTAAATCAAATATAGCTGAAAGAGCAACCCACTTAGAGCATTAATTATATCAAAAATGTAAAAAATTATATAAACATTTTTGTCTTTTAATATGCTCTATCCAGAACTCCTAAAGTGGAAGAGTTTTAGTTTCACCTGGTTTAATTTGGTTTAACCTAATCTTCTTTAAGGAACCTTTGGTTATCTGATTATTTATTGAAAAAATAATCAACAGATTAATCAATTTGTAAAATAATAATTACTTTCAGCTCTAGTTTGGACACAGATATTTACCTAAGCTTCAGTGACCAAAAAAGTTGGTTTAGGTTGCTTAATTTGTTGATAGATTACAAAAAGGTTTTCAAAAAGCTCCAGCTGGCTGCTAGTATTAGTATTAAAAGGCAAACTTTATTTAAGACAACATAATTTAAAATCACAATCTGGTACATCTCCTAAGTGTCCACAGAGATGCAGTGTTAACACACAAGCTGAGGAGATTGCTGAGGAATCTGAAGCAGCTCTGAAGGACTACTTAAACTCCACTAGGTTGGAGGACCTCTATATGCCTTATGAAACAAGGCTGACAGTATAACAGAGGAGAATAACTGAGATATAGATTCAACGACAGCCTGACGCCGAGGAGGGTACCACAGCTGGGGTATAAGAGCACTGAAGGCCACAATGCTGGCACTTTTCCATCCAGTTTAACCTTTACACTGCAGACATTTCACTAGTATCCCACTAGTTTTAATAAAAATGGCAATAACTGCAATAGGTGTGAGTTATGAGGAGGCCATAACTCATAGTACAGAGAAATGACCATATTTTGTGAGGGGGTGTGGGTAGAACTACCTCTAGATCATTGGTGTTTTTCTGGAAAATAAAATGTAAAAAAAAAAAAAACTATATGATGGTCTTTACATGAAGGGTCAGAGCAGACTCTACCTCCATGCTCCTAAATTTCAGCCCTTCATAAAAATCATGCTGGTAAATTATTACTTAGATGATGGGATTTGATCCCTCCAAGTTCTCTGCCCATCAGATCAGCGACGGCTCAGATCATGTCAGAGGAATAGAGTGACAAACTTGCCTTTTTCTCATCAATTTTCGTCCCTGCTGCTGCAATTCCCTCCAGACACTTGGAAATGATGGATAGGACATTCTTTTCAATATCTGAAAACAGACAGTAACCCTCTGCCAGCTGCCGGATCCTCCGTTCCTCCATGTCTTGGAGTTTCTAGTAAGAACAAACATCAACAGACAATTTTTTATTCCAACTTAATAGAAATTATCAAATCTAATAATTTTTTCCTCTTGCACAGTATCATCACTGTCCTTGAATGATTCTCTCACATTAAAGATCAATGGTATCTCTGTGTAGTAGAAGTTGTTCTGTTCTTTGTTGTATTTCTGAAGTTCTGCTGCATAGTTGTTTCTGCAATCCTCTGCTGCACGTGTACGAGCAAGGGCATTGTTCTTGGCCTTTATAGAGAAATATAAAAAACAAAGGTAAAAAAATATGGAAGATTAAAGAAATCAGATCCAAATGCAAAGAATTAACTGGAAGAAGTGATACATGTAAAGCTACGTCACTTTGTGAGTGTTTAATTGTCAGTGTGCACCGGTGTTTACTTTATCAACATCAGATTTTGTGACATTCGCCTCGCTCTCTATTTTCTCTGCTTGTTGTGTTGCTTTGTCAGCCTCCGCCCACTCCTTGGCAAAACGCTTTTTTATCTGCAGGCAAGAACATGTACAAACATATCAGCAACGACAGTATTAAGCAAAAGGGAATTAAGTCTAACTTAAGAAACGTGGCAAAAGATTAAGAAATCCTGCTTTCCTCAGGGCAAATTAGTCACAGGCTAAATTATTACCACAGAAAACACCATAAAGAGCTTTAAATATGCACAAACATTTTTACCTCAATGAATTCTCTTTTAAGTACCTGTGATAATAATCTAAGTGCTTATGAGATGATTGAGCGGGTTGCCATCTCCCCCTACTGGCTCTGGTAGGAAAACCCCCTTCGCTACTTTTATCCCTCTGTTCTCTTTTTTTTTTTCCGGAAAAACATCTTTACAGCAGCCCAATTTAATGGTTAAATATCTCACCATGATCTGCCCACAAGTGATTACAGCATCATTTTTTTGTTGACGAGTTTAATTAAATGGCGGAGTCAGCAAAATAAAAAAAACAAGGTAAGTAAACCTTTGTCTTTGCAGGAAAGGAAGATAAAACTAGCATCAGAAGGGGATAGATAGTAAATTTAGGAAAGCAGTTTACCGCATGGTGAGACATCAAACGAAAACACAGACCTAAAACTGATGCAGACTTATTGTTGCTCTTGAGACCAAAGAGTGTAACTAATGAGACCAAAGGTAAAACATTTGTGTGCAATGGTGTGAATGTGATTTTTAAGACATTGGAAAATTCCCTCAATCCACCATCCCTGCTGTGAAACACAGTGGTAGCAGAATAATGCTTTGGGAATGCTTTTCTTAAACAGGGAAGCTCCTTGGAGCTTAACAAGATGGATAGAAGTACACAGCAGTGCTGTAAATAAACCTGCTGGACACTGCACAGCCTGGGAGAGGAGGTTAATGTCCTAGAGCAGGCATCCCCAACCTTGGTCCTCGAGGCCCACTGTCCTGCAGGTTTTAGAGGTTTCCTTGCTCCAGCACAGCTGATTTTAATTTGAAGCTGATTAACAGGCTTTTGGTCTACTGCAATCATTATAATCAGCTGTGCTAAAGCAGGGAAACCTCTAAAACAGGACAGCGGGCCTCGAAGCCTGTTCTAGAGTTTAAGTTCTAGGGAGCGAATTTGTCTAGATGGCTTTGATTTTTCTTTTTCAATTTTAATTACCAAAAATTACTCTGATTCACATTAGTATTGAATACTGCAATAACACTAGCAAGTATTCATTTTTTATACCTCTAAACTTAAATAGACAACCTGATAATTCTGTGTCTTGCAAGAAATCTGTTCAGTTTTATTAACTTTAATACCGGTAAAAGAAATGGCCCAAAGCATTCAAACTTAAATCTAAGGTAAAATAGCAAAAGGTTTGTTTTGAATCTCTTGAATTATCATGAACTATATTAAAAGGATTCAGGCAGGCATTCCCAAAGTGGGTCCTCAGTGGCTGCTGTCCTGCAGTTTTTTATTTTTCCCTGCTTTAGCACAGCTGTTTCTGATGATTATAGTTAAGCAAATGCTTGTTAATCAGCTGTTAATGAAAATCGGCTGTGTGACAGCAGGGAAACCTCTTATACCTGCAGGACAGTGGTCCTTGAGGACCAACTTTGGGCAGGCTTGTGTAGGCTTTCTTATCCATGTCTGTGGTCATGTATTATGTAAGACATTTCTGTGTAAAGTCTAGATTAAGTTGCCGTAAATGTGTATCAGAGATGCACTCTTTGTTTGATTTTATATTAAAGTCTGAAACATAAATTTGTTTCATTAAGCTGACACTCCAGGGGCTGCAGTCTAGTTTAAGTATTGTGCATTTCTTCCTATTAGTGGAACTTTTCCATAAAATTAATTTAGAGTAAAATAATACAACAGATAAAACATAAAATGTAATATTAAATAAAATATAGCATGATTAAGAAATTAAGATTCCAAGACCAGTGAGATATAATAAACATTTAACTTACACTCTCTAAGTGTTTAAAGCTGCTTTCTAGATTCTGCTGCGCCTTCTTGGCATCGGATAGGTGCTGAACACAAAGAGGTTGAAATGAATCTGGGGCAGCTTTGGATGATAACATTGCATACTTCTGCAATCTGTAATCTGTCACATTTCCACGTTCCACCCTTACTGTTTTTCGTTCCTGTTTGAGGTCCTGCAGGTCTTTGTTTAGTTTATCACAGATTTTGGCCATCATATTCTCAGCAATTAGCTCTCGTTGTCCTGCGTAATCATTTAGCTCGTTTAGGATCTCCTGGAAGGATGCATGATTGCTGAATCTACAACAGAAGACACATTAGGAAAGGATGAATTTATCAACATATGTAGATACATATAGAATCAGAATCAGTCAGGATTATTATTGCAAAGAGTGATTTTTGCAGTTTGTGAATATTTTGTCTTACAGCTAAAGAAAACCAGAAAAAATGTCTCAAGAAGGAGATAAAGCCAATTGCTCTCTCAGCCTCATCTATGTGCTCGGCTGTCTCTGTCCTCGCAACTTAATAAACTATATGACTAAACAACATCACCTGCCATGTGAAGAAATGCTTTTGTTGTACATTCAGGAATTGATTTATTCCTGCGTCTAGGTTGTGATGCAAAACTTTCTTTCATTTTTTCCAAACACCAAATTATATCCACAGTAAATATTTCATCATCTTACTGTTTATTTTTTTATGAAGAACCAGATGAAAAGCCATAGAGATAGTCTTTGAATATATCTCTCATTTATAATTACTTTATTAACATCCATCCAAAAAGGATGTAAATGTTTCATTGTATTTAAATGATAACAGAATATTCTCTCTATTTCATTTGAATTTTTTAATATTTAAGTACATTACAATGAAAATGAATTATAATATATAATATGACATTATAGAGCAGTTTTCTCCATGTACTTTCTATTGTGAAGCCTGTATGAGTTGGTTAAGTTTTTATTGACAAACATTTAAAATACCTGCTAATCTAATCCATGTCTGTGTTTCAATAAAGAGTTCTGTAGGTGTTGCTGATGCAACTGATGGTTATATATAGATAAGTTATATATAGGGTGTATATACAGGGTGTAGGAAAACAATATGAGCCAATTAAGAACTTACCAAACCATGGGTCAAAGCTTACTTTGGCCCCTTGTTATAAAAATGGTTAGGGAGGATACAGACTCTGCAGTCACATGACATCTTCCATAAGAAGAAAGAGAAAGTATATAGCTTCCCACAATGTGCTGTATTATAATATGCTGAAGTACATTAATAGAAAATTGACACAGACCCACACATATCTGTGTGGACTTAGTAGGAAAAATCCCTGGACTGATGATCGAATGTAATATAATCAATAAAATAGCCTAATACATAACATTTGGAGGTGACTACATTGTGTCTTTGAAGAATAAGATTAAATCAAGAATAACGTTTTTTTTCACTGGTTTATCTTTAGCTAGAGTATTTTAAACTTTGAATTACATTTTGTAGTCAGTTACCTTCATAATGCATCTGTACTGTTATTTAGCCTTTTGAATAAGTTTTAATTTACACCCATTGAAAATATTTTGAGTACATTTCATGTGCATTTATAGACAACATTCAGTGAACTATTCTGAGTTCCCTGCTGCTTAGCTTTTAGAAACCGTTTTTCTGTGTTTCTGCTTAATGCAGTGAACACAAATATCTCACCAAGAACAGCCACTTTGAAAGAATAAAAACAGATGTGTCAAATCTGCTTTTAAGATGCAGGAAAAAAAACTCTGAACGTATAACTGATCCATAACAATTACAGTGCTGCCAGAAAACACACTATAAAAGACATCATTCCACCTCAAGAATACTGTAAAGGCATGTGTATACCAGGTTAGATAAATGACATTCAAACTTTATGGTTTTGTGTTAAAAAGAAAAAGTTGCTATTACAGCAGATTACATTTATAAAACTAAATCTGCAAGTGTCTGGAAAAAAGAAAAAAGGTACTAACATCTGCATAAGTGACTCATTTCAGTCGATAATGATTGATTCTGAAACTTGGATATATTCAGTAAGCTACATCCCTCTCAGTAATTTTCCATAGCTTAGGGGAAATGTCTCAAACAGGGGCCAGTATTGTTAGTGCCACAGTACCATTACATTGAGTAAAAATACCAGGACTTCATGTTAGAATGGAAATAAATAACTTATTTTAAAATAAAAAATAATGTTTGTTACCATGCTGCTGATAAAACAATGATTCTTTCTTTTCTGATAAAAGTAGGAGATTTTCTGTGATGCTGTTGCCAATAACAAAATAAAGTGTCGATAGCTGACTGTTTTATGTATTTTAGAGCACTATACATTTTTCCCCCCAAAACAAAACATATTTCAAAATTTCCTTGTCAAAAACCGGGGGCTATAGACTACAAAGTCCTTCACACTGCATTCGGTCTACCACCCATTCACACATCGATCATGGTGAGCTACACTAGCCCTGCTGGGACCTCTGACCACTATCAGTAGGGTTAATATAGAATCGTGTTCAATCACTGAGCCAGACAGAGAAGGGACACAAACATGCAATGTGTGCCACTGTTGGCCCTGTTTAACATCATGTGTCTGTTAAAAGTGGTATCATCTTAAAAACACTTTGTTCTTTAGAGTTATAAAAAATTATACAGCAGCAAATCGCATGTAACAGGGATTTCTCATCTCAGTACGACTTTCTGGTTAAACAAATGTAAACTAAAATAATGAAATTTGTTAAACCACTCACACTAAATTTTGCAGAAGGCTTTATATAAAGGTGCATCATGCACAGAACACCATAACTGGTATCATGGTTTAAAGCTGAGAGCCAATATTGGCCTGTTAATTAACCAGGGTGGGTTTCACCAGCTTGCACTATGATGAACAGATATATGCTGTAGATTTGTACCGGGTACACTACCATCCCTGTATCTAAAAGCATATTTCCTTAATCAAAAACTGGAAAAATCCTTTTATTACCAGCCTTTAAATACTAAATGAGCTAGCTGCCTCTGTTGTACACTAGAAAAACAACAGGGTTTGAAGTAGTGGTTCGCCATAAGAGGTCCAGTAAAAAATAGGGAGCAAATCCACTCTATCCTCATTTCAGAACCTCCCCTGTAGATTCATTAAAAGGAATATAGACAATAGGGGTGAAATTACTTAAACTTTTAAAGATTTTTCAAAGCGTAACTTTTAAAACAGATTGTATACCTTCAGATTGCTAGTGGACCTAGTGTCAAACGTACAATAACTGTTAAACAGTCTTAACATTTATCCAAGTTCTTCTGAGAGCTTTATGTGACCTGATCTCTTGTACTTGTTAAAATGTATAAAATGTATAAATAATCATTAAAAGTTATAAATGCAGGGTGATCTAAAATATTGCTCTTTTGTCAGCCATCTTTGGAGATTTATTTCCCTCTTCCCTACCTGGCAAGATAAGCCATCTTTATTGTTTACAGTCAAAGTTGGTAATGATACTTTATGAAAACTATTTGATAAATGACATTTAAATTATGGTCAGAAAAAGAAATGGCATACATCAGGGTAAGATATAGCTGATTAATCAGACGGCAGCTCTTCAGAAAGAGGAGTTCTTTGACTTCAAGTTCCAAACTGTTTCCAGCCATCATTAAAAAGTAAAAACCTGCATGCTCTTGATAAACTGTTTGCAGATCAGTTATCCTTGATGCTGTTGTTGCAGATGTTAACAACATGGATCAAGAGTACTCTAAAGTTGCAGCTCTGTTCACACTAGATCATTCCCAGTAATTTAGCATATATAGACCTGATCAGGTTAAATACTGGGTCAGTTTTACCCAATAAATAATTTCAGGCTTTATTCACACATTAATCTGAACCAGTGAATTACTGGGTAGGTTGTCAGTGTGAAAGGAGCTAAAAATACCTATAAATGTTTTGTAAAACTCATAATTACAACAGTATTTAAAAAATACCTTTCTTTACATTTATTTAAAATAAGTTGATTTTGGCTTTTTCCATTAAAGAAATACCTTTTGATTAAATGTAGTATTTTTTCTGCTTTTGCTTCTGCAAAAAATAAATAAATAAACAAATCTTATTTGAATGCTTTTTTATGCACTTATGGATATTAGCCAACCCGCAATATTTATTATATTATAATTGCAGTAGCCACCCAACCATTTGCTCTGTTATGTAAGGGTTTGGTTAAATAATTGACAAACAGCTATAAAATATGACTTGAAAATAGCTTAATTTTTCCCATTAAATTATATTTCTTTGCTGAATATGCTGTAGGACTAATTTGGATTAATGCCAGACAAATAAAAAAAACATCAACTGAGGATATTTAAAGCTAAGGGGACCAAAATCTTCTAAAGTTTTTCATTTTCCCTAAAACCAAAAACCCTTTGAATTACAAGCTCATTGGTGTGGAGGTTTTATTTCAGTCTTCTGATATTTAACTATCAATCCTTTGTCACAAGTATCTAATTTTACTAGAAATGGAAGTGTTCCAGTAACAGCTGACCACTGTAGTAAAAAAAAGGAAATAAAAATGCTGTTGAGTTGTTTCTAAATCAATATGATGTCAAGTGTAAGAAAAGAAAACCAAAGCTATGAATATTTCAATTTAGTGATTGATTGTCCCGGTTTTCTTACTTGCAGTCCTGCTCATCTTTGCTTCCTCGTTTTGAGTACTTCTTTGTCAGATTCCTGTTTGCAAAACAAGAAAAAAAAAGAAATTTGACCTTAAAAAATCCATACAAATGTACCTGTTCACCGACGGTACAGATCTCTGCAAAAGTTATCATCTATTTAAACGTTTTAAAAACGTTGTGAAGTTGCAGCCTCAAAATCCAAATGTGAATCTGCAAAGGATGAGGTTTAAAGTCTTGGAGGGAAAATATTTGCTCAGTCTACAGCCAAAAGACATTTTCAATTCTAGCCACAGATTCCCACTTTGATTTTTAGATTCTCCTGTTACAATGCTCCACGATATGTTCCTGTTAAGCTTGTTTTGTGACATTAATGGAGTTTTGAATGTAGGCTAATTGATTAGATTTTGAGAATAACTTCCAAATATTTGCTGCTTCTGTACTTTATAGAACAGGCAGCTTTTCTTTTTGTAATCTTCTTTAAAGGCCAGATTTGTGGAGTGCATGACTAATAGTTGTCCTGTCAACAGACTCTCCTATCTGACCTTTGGATCTCTGCAGTTTCTCCAGAGTCACCATAAGTATCAGTGCTTCTCTGATTTACATTCTCTAGCTCACTCTGTCAGTTCAGGTGGACTGCCATATCTCGCAAGGACTGTAATGGCTCCATACTCTGTTATCCAATGATAAATTGAACAGTACAGGAAGATCATTTTAAGCTTGGAATAATGTTTTAGAAAGTCTTATTCCTGACCTGCCCAGGGCGATTTGTCTTGATCTCCATTAATGTTTTTCTTTTTTTTCCTCTCACTAAAAACATACTTATTAAATAGGCAGCCTTTGAAGGTGATTAGGTGCAAATCAATTTTTACAGTCGTAACACATCAAGTATTTCCTTCAAGTCACTGTTATGGCCTGTTTCATGTAATGTCAACATCACAGTTAAATACATGGAAGTTTAAAGTATGGGACAAAATTAAACAATGTTTAACAGGTCTGAATACTTTGGCAATGCACTAAACATAAGCAATGAGAAAGAAAAACACAGATCACACCTGAGCTGCTTGGCGTAGTTTTGTTCTATCTCTGTCCGCTCCTTTACAAACTTAATGTAACGCTCCAGCAGGTCAAGGCCAGACTGAGTGTGCTTGTCGATGACGTCATTCTGGTCCTAAGAGAAAAAGCCCAAAGCAATTACATACCATGGCTGAAAAAACACTTTAGGTTAACTTGTAACAAACAGCTGGTGCAAAAGGAAGTCATTAAGATGTTTAACAGGGTAATACACCTTTAAGATTCAGAGGAAAAGTTGGTTAGATTCTCATTAAAGACAAATGAATGCTTTCTTTTATAGACACCAGGGCATATTTATTGCCAGACATTTGTTTTCCTATCTGTTTTCAAAACACATAACACTAACTTTCTGTGAGCCGAACAAACTAACATGGAAAAGGTGTAATAGTAAGGAACCAAAGAAGAAAAAAGCATACAGTACACTTCTAGCTGCCTCCAGCTGTGTCTATTTACACACATTCATCAACTGAAAACACAGAAACCTGTTGGACAGGTAGCGTTTGTTCTCAGTGCACCCTTTGGCTTATCCCTGTAGTGTTGTATAACAACACCAGCTGCATGGATTGCTGAATACAAAACTCCAAAAACTTCAGCAGTCTGCACACATAAAGAGTCACAAACAGATTCAGGGTGGTTCCCGAGTTTTTGCTGGGTGAAAAAAAAGACAGACCAGAAAGACCTCATGTTTTTTAGTTTAATGGAGCTGTACACAAATATTGTGGTGGTCTAAAAGGGAAAAGGCAGTGAAGGAAAAAAGCAGGCACAGGACTAGATGGACAATGGAGCAGCATGTTTGCACCAGGAAGGAAAGCAATCAGGGAAATCAGTTTGCTAAGAAGAAAAGCAAAACAAAGCCTTGTGTTGATGGAGAGATTAACCCTGAAAAAATGTCTGAGATATATCACTCCTTTGAAGGAACACATTGTAACTTTACTCTAAAATGTCTGCATCCCGATGTGAAAGAGGGAAATACTGATTGTGACATGGAGTTTAGGAATGAGATAACCATTAGCTCAGTCCACCTCCACCCTGTGAGTGTCTGTCTCTTGCGCTGCTTCAAGCTCTGGAACCAGTTTGGCTCGTCCCAGCCCAGATTATGACACACAATACTGGCAGCAGCAGAGCAGTTTCTGATTCTCGCTTATTGTGCCTCATGTTAATCATAATAAAAGCTTCAAAATGGCAAGACTAGTTCTACCAGCTTGATGTTAAACAGTTTCTTAGTCTCTTTTAGCTTTTGTCTTGGTGGTTATTTGTTCAAACAGGTGGGACCATTTACATTGAAAAACTCCCTCTAGACATAATTATCACAAAAAAACAATTCTTCTTCTTACCAATCTGATTAGTTAGATTTGTTGTTCCAAAGATGTAGCAAAGTATACCAAATAACAGGTTTGAATTTTAGGAGCATTTGGAAGTTATTGGTAAAATCAGAAAATAATTTGTGATTTTAATAGGAAGTGTATATTTGATTATTATTATTTAAACTTTGTTTGCATGATCGTTTATCATGAGAAGTTTTTAGGTCTTTTCATAATTTCCTAATATATTTCCTTACTCTATAAAAATGAAAAACTGTTTGGATTTAAGCCTGTCAGGTGAAGTGGGTTATTGGTACTGTATGTGGGAGGGCTCCTGGTTCTCCTTATTGGAGGAGGTGGCTCTACATATAATGTGGGGATGAACATGTCATCCTGCCTTCTATCCTTATTGATAAGGAGTATTAGCATAAAATTCCGCTGAACCCTTAACTAAAATGACCAAAAACAAAAGTATGGATACAAAGGTGGTCCATTATAGAAAAGCTACATCAACAGACACAAGAAATGTGAGGGACAGACACACTTAAGAGCTGGGTTGTTTACAAAACAGACAGTTTCTTCTTTTACTACGTTTCAGGAAAATCAGACCATTCTGACCATTCTGTGCATGCTTAAATTATATAACATTATCAAATGCTTGTTACATTTATACACTAAGATTTAGAATTTCTCATCCACCAAGGTTTTGATCAGATCATGGAAATTTTGTGTGTGTAAACGGAATTTTAAGTGGATTGCTCCTTTCTAGGCAGCAATCCATTTAATTTAGGTGATGAAGCAGGTCATAATATGGACACACAAGTTTTTTAGAAGGTTGTTTAACATTGAAAGATTGGTGGAAGCAATTCCCTGCTAAACCAGAGGGTGACAGCAGTGATAATTGACAGCCTCAGCACAAGACTTTCATAAAGTCGGAATGTATTTTACTGAACACAAAAACACAACAAAAGGGAACGTTGTTGGTTTGTTGGCAGGATCATTTGAAAACGTATTAATAGATTTTATAGATATTATTTTAGCAGAGGTGGATCTCATGCTGGGGCTATACAGTGGTGCAGTGGGTAGATCTGCTGCCTTGCAGGAACAAGATTCCAGATTCGATTCCCGGCCCGGGGCATTTCAGCATAGAGTTTGGATCTTCTCCCTCATTCCAAAAATAAAAAATAAAAAAACTGGCTTGACATTGTTCACAGCTCTTGTTAGAAATCTAAACACTGAGTCCAGTGAGAATGAAGGTCACAACTACTTAGAAAGTCTTTAATAATACCTTATGAGGAAGTTCAATAGCAATACTCTTCATAACAAATGAACAGGGAAAGAGAAATTTACAGAACTAACAGATAAGGAGAAGAAATTGGCATAAAATTAGAATAAATGCTATAAAAATGTGCCAACATAACTGGTCTAAGCACTAAATAGACTCTTCCTAAAGAATAAGCTGTGTAAGAGCCAAAACTAAAAACATACCTAGCTAGACTATTAAATATGGGTAAACTGTCTGAATATCAAACAAAAGAAATTATCAATATATTATTTCCTTCCTTTTAATTCTAAAGTGTGTATTTTTAATGCACGGTTAATTCACACACAATGAAAGTAAAAAAAAAAAAAAAGGTTTTAAATAAACTGATCAAATAAAAAAAGCGGTTTTAGAAAATGCTCCAAACCTAACCTGTGATTATTTAAAAATAAAGGCTACCCAAACTATATTGTTTAAAAAAGACTTCCAACATGCAAAGCTCTTAATGCTAGTTAAACATATTTACTTCTTAATGCCAGAAGCAATAAGTAGACCTTTAATCCTTAAGGAACAATGTTAAATTGTAAGTCATGATATAATGAGTTTGCATATGACCCTTTATCCTCTCTGCTGACTTTGATCATCTCTACAAAAAAAATAAAAAGTCACTAATGCTTAACTATAAACATGCTGAACAGCTCTGTTATCATATATACAGCAAGGTCATACAAGAAAAAACAATCCAATTTGTGTAGAAAAGTCCTTTAGAAACTTTAGAAGTAATGCAAATTTTTTTGATTTTGTCTATCAGAAGTTGCTTTGGTCTAAATTACAATTGGTAGTTATGGCTTTTCTTATCCATCTCTTATCTGTTTAAAAACTGAAACTAAAACTAAAATGAGCTGACTGAGAAGAGCTTCAAAACATGTGACCAACATATGATCTGATTGCTGTTTAAAGATGCAATTTTTATTTTTTTATAGAAATGGTGCGGAAAAAGTACTTAAACTAGCCGAAAAGATCAATAATAGGACAGCAAATGTATGACAGAGGCAGAAAACCTTCCGTCATTTTTACATTTTAAAGAGATTGAGTCCAACGGTTTGATGGACCATATCACTACCCGATCTGTCCGAGAAGCATGATTCGTACCATCAGCTCATTTGCACATGCTCAACCAGATATACAATAAATATATCATGTCTGGTTTTAATAAATAATGTAACTATGATATGAAACTTACCTATTTCTATCCTTTACTCACCAAAGAAAGCTAATACACATCTTTAAAAAATGTTTTATGACATTTGTGAGACAATTTTGGTGCTTCTTATATTTTCTACGTTAAACCGCTTATCTGACGTCATCATTGGACATGCGCAGAGCAGCCTGGCAAAATATGATTAAACCATGTTTATCTGCAGTTGTTTTTTTCTTTAGGTTACGCACTATATACCACAATGTTAACATGAAAAGAAAATATAACACGATTAGATTTATGTTTAAATCCAAAGCTGAAAAAGTTAGCTCCTGGAGGTAGCGTAGGATCTCATTTTGGATGCAGATCAGGCTCAGACAAGTGATAAAACAGAAAAGATAAAGGCATTGATTTTCGCAGGATATACATCATTAAACTTTAACACATTTAGTTAAGTATGCTTACTATTTTTGCGGAGGATAAAAAGGTAATTTAGGTGTTTTTAACAAAATAAAATCGAGGGCGACCCGGATGTGTATCTGGTTGCGTATGCAGAAATGAGCTGACGGTATGGATTGTGCTTATGGGACACATTGGGTAGTGACAGACCACAGTGACAGCTTTATTACATTTACTGCTTTTAACTTAAGCCTAAAGCACCTTGAATGCAAAAAAATTTATGAAGCATCTTTTGTGCCAGGTTTTACTTAGGCGGCTTAAGTGAAAGCATAAAATGGAAATATATAGCATTGAAAAGGCTACTGATCATGGCAGATTAGCAACTTTTAATATATTTTAATGTTTTCAAAAGTTCTCTGGCATTCAAGTTTCATTCCAGTTCAGGTGTTGTTCAGCTCACCTTCATGTACTAGCTCTGAATTCAGTTTAAATAAAGTCTTCAATGTTCTTACTTCACCATCTAAATATCCACAACAAACTTCATAGCTCCAACATTAACTATTTCTGTTTAATTTTTTCTGTTTTTCTGAAACATTATTTGATAGAATATATGAAGGACATGACCTTATTCACAAGGTGCATTGTTTTGCCTGTACTTCTAACCCCTTTATTTCTATATGCAGGTTTTTATTTAGGTAAAAGATAATCACAATTGTGAAAACCCAACTCATGGTGGTAAAAGGATTTTTTCTATCTATGTTGACAATTTTTATGGGTTTGGGGTAACTATGATCAGTCTTCTCTATTTTTCTTTATTTTTTTACTCAAAAAATAATTTACTGATGATAGAGAATGTGCATAAGTAAAATGCTGCATGTTGTTTTGATTATCGGCACATCAAAATCAGCAGCTAAACCCAGCCTGTGTTTGAAATTAACATGAGTGCTGAAATCTTCCATTCCTCACATTACCTGCCTAGAAAACAATCCACCAATTTCAAAACAACATGATTGATTAAAACACATTGGAATGAGTGTAACATGCACTACCTGGAACACAATTATCTATTTAAGCCAATGGTAATAAGGGAACTATAATACCTAGTGAATGAAAGATAAGCTATGAAAATAATATTTATTGTATATAAATCAATTTAAATGCATCTTAAATAGTGTTTTATTCAAATTTAAGGTTTTGGGACAGACTGACTGGAGCTGACAGCCTGATAAGAGCTTAATAATGTTCATTATTAAGCTATTACTGTTGCATTTGGTCTTTTCCTGGGGGCCACGTTCTATACACAGTATATCTGTTTGCTGTGGAGTGAACTAATCTATAGGATTGACTGGCAACACTTGACCTCTCCTATCTCAATCTTTTAAGTTTAGGTCGAAAAGCTGTAAAGTAGAGCAAGGAACATTCCAACATGTTTGCTTAACTGCAAGGGAACTGAAGAAGATATAAGTAAGACAATGTTTCAATGGGTTTTAAAAGGGTTTCTGGTTTGTTTTTAGAATTTTCATGTTTTCCTAAATGAATTTTGAAATAAAAATGAAAATTACAGAAATAAACAGCAATTGTTGAGTTTTTTTCTCATTTTATTTTGAAATACTTAAATGGAAGAGCAGACCATACATGGTTTATTAACATAGTAGTGTTTATTCTTAGAAACAGCTTTGCCAATGTATTTGTATGAACTGAACTGCTCAGTTTTCAGCCTTGCAACCTTCTGTTTGAAGGGTCTCACAGTAAATAGGCCAGACTATGAAACAATTCTAAGTAGGTATGTGTTGACTTAAACTGCTCTGTGATATCCTCCTTACTAGATTTAAGTAATCAGTTCCTAACTGGTCGAAGCCCATCTGAAAACAGCAGGCTCCAATAGGAAGGCTATTTCATTGCTCTGGACAGAGTTTAATGGCATTTGTTTTTTCAGCTGGCATGTTTTGTTTGTTACATTGCTTTCAACTATATTCCCCATTAAGCCATTTATTTATGCACTTTCCACTTAATGTTTTTTAAAGGTTTTTAATATTCTTATAGTAATGTTTTATATCATTGATTGGTACCCTGTCTATTCTCCCAGTAAAGCAAGGTGATCAAAAAAATAATACTGTATAAACACACTCAATTAAGTGGTAAATATTCTTAGCAAACCCTTTGAAGATATCCAGGCAACCAAACATTCATTTTCAAATTTCATCACTAAAGTAAGATGAGACAAATTGGCTCCTTTGCTAAGATAAAAAAAGCTGCCTGCACTATGTAAAAAAAATGTATCACTGCATAATTCTAATAACTGGTTGTGTCAACCTTGGCCTCAAACAATGCTGTTGGGCGTTGGACACAAGTGGCAAATAGTTTTCACATTGCTGTCTAACAATTTAAGCTCATCTTTCTTGTTTTGAATTATTTAAAACCAACAAAACTGGATGGGTTTCGAGCATAATTGAACAGTTTAATGTCACACCATAGTCTCTCAATGAACTCAAAATATCTACTGTGAATAGAGCCATTCCTACTCTACATTTTTCTTTTATGTTAAGTCAGTCAGAGATATATTTGAGGGTGTTCTTGGGGATATTGTCCAACTGCATAACCCAAACACAAGAACTCCTAGATCGACACACTTCCACCGAAAAGGCTGTCTGTATCAAACTATTCTGAAAGGCAATGTTGGTTTTATAGTAGATCCATCCATCCATCCATCCATCCATCCATCCATCCATCCATCCATCCATCCATCCATCCATCCATCCATCCATCCATCCATCCATCCATCTTTTACTGGTTCATCCGTCTGGGTTGGGGTGCTATACCCTGGAAAGGGTCGCCAATCTGTTGCAGTCTATTGGGACATGTATATCTTAAAGGGTTTGACTTTTGCCTCATTAGTCCAGAGAATGTTTTCTCCAAACTCTTAGTTTTCTTACAAAATGTTTGGTCGAAGTATTTTTTTGCTCAACCATGGTTTTGACCTTGGAAACCTCCCATGGACACTAAATCACCCAGAGTCTTTCTTACTGATAAATCTTGAACACTGACCCTAAAAATGGCAAGTGAGTACTTAATATGTAGCTCTATGTTCTTTTGTGACCTATACTGGATAAGTTCATCACTATGTTTTCTGCATTTGAGAATAAGGGCTGTCACTATGGTTTGATGGATTTCCCACAGCCCTAAAAATTATCTTTAGCCATTTCAACATGCAATCTTTAATAATAGCTATATTGTGGGACAGTTTGACTTTTTTTTTGTTTTGTTTATTTATTTAGTCTACTTCATGTTGCCTGACAGGTTCTATTTCATTAATAACTTGTTTCCCCTTAGAGCAGTAATCAGATATGGGTGTGGCTGCTGAAACTAAACTCAGCTTTGAAAAAACTTAATCACAATCAATTTATGATTTAACAATGGGGACGCTTACTTTTTCACACAGCGTTAAGTCGGTTCAACTAGATTCATTTGCTATCATTTGAAATATAACCATCATTACAAACCAAGATTTGCAGATGTCATCTTTGTGTTTTATCTCAAACATAATTGTTAGGCAAACAGAGAGGAATTCTGAAAATAGGCAAAAAGTTTTTTAGAATGTAATCAGAGGAGTCCTCAGCTTCAAACTCCACAGGTTTCAGTGCTGTTTATAAATTGTGTCTATTAAGGATTTTTTAACTTGTGGGCTGCTACTTTCAATCACACAGTGCATTTCTATTGATCATTCACTTGTCATAAAGGCAAAACTCAGGTTTAGAGCACCAAAGGAGAGACCAGATAAGGCCAGTATGCAGAATATAAAGTACATAGCCTTCCTGGCAACAGAAAGAGCCATAAAGGCTGCGAAATCTCTGTATCTGCGGCAGCCTTAACAGATAGTCCAGCAAAGGCTTATTCTGCTCAATATTACAGATCATTCACATATTGTGTCTCCACAAACAAAATCGGGTAACATAAACTTAGGATATATATTAAAAACTGTTTTTTTCCTCTTAAGACAGATTAAAGAGAGGTTGTCAGCTGTCAACTCACCCATAGATCTGTTCCCCAGTCCATGTTTGCACAAGTTCAGATGTCTTTGAAAAAATGAGAAAATCTCCACTGCTGTTAGGTAAAAGAAAAGGAACACAAAACAAAGCGGGAAAATATTCTAATTTGAGAGCAAAGCTTGCACCAAACTTTGTTTGAAAGCGTAGGAAATGTTAAGAGGAAGTCTACGCCTTCTCCCCCTTGGCACCAAAGCGCCTGTCTTGTTTCTCCAGCAGCCGAGAGAGAAAGAGAGAGAGAGCGAGAGAGAGAGAATATACCTAGGGGAAGTTTTCCTGAAACAGCTTCCTATAGAGGAGAGGGGGGGTGGCTGTAAACCTACCAGCTGTTTGTTTTATCTTCCAGAAGCTGCTTGGGGTTGTTTTCCCTCTTTATTGTTCATGCAAACCCAGCCCAGAAGCAGATCTTTAAAGTAATATAGAAAGAAAAACATTGCCTGGCAGTCCTGTCAGCATTCATCACACCTGAGGAAAAAACAAATCAGAGACGAGCCAGTGAAGGGAGGACTTTTTTGTGATTAAATGCAAAACATTTGACTCTTTGTGACTGTCAAGCATGACATAAAACACATTTAGATGCAGACTGAAATCACTTTCATCTTATTTAAGCATTTCAGTTCATAAAAGAGATTCTTCATCATAGTTAAGTATATAAAAAAAAACATATTTTTTCTTTTGGGAAGAAATCCTATCTTAAAAGTTAATTGATTTGAATATGATTGCTGAGTAGAAACCTGTGGCCATACTATGTCACCATGCTCCTGTAAAATGTTTCTTCTAAAAACATTTGTGATAAATAACAAAGTGATTGAATAGGAAGTGATATCCTTTGCAGTATTACCATAGGAAGTATTCAACTGCAACATAGTGTATTTTAAAATGCTGAGCACAAAAGTTGTAAATGTTAAATAAATCTGTAATATGTCAAAGGGTTTTCCTCTTATGTTACTTTCATGGATACACTTTTGATAAACAGCCTTACCCAGAGGCCCAGATACACCTGAAATCATAGATGTCCATCCCAAATCACATGTTATTACGCACTTTGGGTAGGACAACCTTCTTCTGGTACGGGAGTAAAATAGAAAGCAAAAAATAATAATAATAATAAAAGCTTAAGTTTTGTATTTCCTTCAATTTCTGAATAGCGTAGATTTCTATATTTGAAAGATCTTGCTTGACCACCAGAATTCAAAAGATTATTTATAAATGTTTAAGAGTTGATCTTGTGTTATTACTTCTCATCTCCTTGAACACTACATCCATTTGGTGAACCGTAATGCCAGAAATCCTTCAGAATGAGAAAACTCTCATTCTCAAAAAACAAGTATTTTTCCCTTTGGCATGCAGCTCTTTCTATTGATGCATGGACTATCTATAGGGAAGATAAAATCAGCTTTCCAGTGAAGAGCTCTTTGCTACAGATGAAGTGAAGTGTCGACGCCTCCTGTCAATGATTTAAAAAAGTGTGGGCGGAGCAAAGATTTTCAATCTCTGTAGTGTAGTTTAGAAAAGCAAAGGGTGTGTGTGAAGCTTTACCATTTCTTTTGCACAACACTGACACCATGTGTCAGGTAAACATGCAGCTAAGGTCTTGGGTTAAGTTTTGAAATTCATACTTTCAAAATACAACAAAAATTCTTTACATTCAAATTCAAACTCTGTGATTCAGGTGATGCGATAATCTAGTTTACCTAATGCTATGGGTGAATGAATACTTTGACAAACAATTGAGTAAAGTTCACCATGAGCAGTATCAGTGACAATACGCCCCATCAAAAAATTAGACCAAAATGAACTCTAATCAGCTTTTTTTTTAATGTCTAGAATTTGGTTTACTTTATTTGTATTAAAACTTTCTGACTTAAAATCAGTGTTATCATTCTTGATGCCAAAAAGAGCCCAAAAGGTTTTACTTTCACAAGTGGAGCAGTACGGTCATCAATTAATCAATTAATAAATGGTTGAAACCAATCTGCAAACAGCAGGCTCCAACAGCAAAGATATTTCATTGCTCTGGACAGTTTTATGGCATTTGTTTTTTCAGTTACTGTACCATGCTTCATTTGTTATATTGCTATCAACTCTATTCCCCCCTGAGCTGTTTATTTATGCCATTTCCACTTAAAAAACAATATGAACCACCTTTCATCAAACACCGAAACCACGCCCACATTCCAAAGTGACAGCCGGAAGTCCCGCCTTAATTAAACCGGAAGTCCCGCCTTAATTAAACCGGAAGTCCCGCCTTAATTAATATAAAATTAATATAAAATTAATATAAAATTAATATAAAATTAATATAAAATTAATATAAAATTGATATAAAATTAATATAAAATTGATATAAAATTGATATAAAATTGACATAAAATTAATATAAAATTAATATAAAATTAATAATTAAAAAATATTAAAAAATTTATAAAAATGCATATAAAAAATTAACTATGTTATTTTAATAACGGTTATGATGATTAAATGATTATTTTTAATTATTTGTATTGATTTCTTATATAATCACTGTAAGCACGCCGTTTTAGCCTCTGCCTGAGCAGCTGTGTGATGAGTGCAGTCACTCACACTCACACAGTGCAGCCACCCCCCAACCCCCCTCGCTGCAGCTGCTGTAGCCCCCTCGCTGCAGCTGCTGTAGCCCCCTCACTCTGCCCTGTGCCTATGTGGCCCTTTGCCTATGTGGCCCTCTGCCTCATAGGATTCTGCAAGACTATATATCTTTATACACGATAAATAATGATGTACATGTATATGTATCAGTCTATTAAAAGAAAAAATAAAATAAAAAAAAATAAAAAAAAACAAAAAACAAAAAAAAAAACTAATGTCTAATTTTGTCCATTCATACGGTTTAAGCGTCCCACATGCGCAGTAGAGACTTCAATAACGTCACAAGCCGTCTTGCTCCTTGTTTACTTCCGTAAAAATGGAGGGAAGGTTTAGATCGCATCTAGCTGTCTTTCCCAAACTTAAATACACAATGGTTTTTAAGATGGTTAGAAAAAATAAATAAATAAAATGCTCTCCCACCTTATCATCCAACATGGATGTGGTGTTTCTAGCCGCTTCTGTGCTCGCTCAGACGCAGGTTGCAGTGGAAAAGATCTGGATCACTTTAGGTTGCTGTGTGAACCCGTCCATGCTGGAGAAAGGTTGGGTGACTTACTGAGGCTGACTGAAGCATTCTATACAAAGACGATACTGCCCGTCCTAAGGGTCTCCTCATGTGAAAGGTCGCATCATGAGGAGCTCACACCACGCCACACTGTCCTTCCTAAGAGTCACCTGATGTGAATGGTTAATTAATCCATCAGGTGTTTGGACCTTGGGAGGGGGGTGAAAAATACACCACTTAGAAAAAAGAGGAGAGACTCTTTGTGAATCACTGTCCTTCCTAAGGGTCACATGATGTGATAGGTCTCACTATGAGGAGCTCACACCATGCCACACGGTTTAAGAGTCACCTGATGAAAAAAATTATAAAAAAAAAAAATGTATACAAATGCATATAAAAAATTAACTATGTTATTTTAATAACGGTTATGATGATTAAATGATTATTTTTAATTATTTGTATTGATTTCTTATATAATCACTGTTAGCACTCCGTTTCAATCTCTGCCTGCAGCAGCTTGAGCATATTGGTTATTAATTCTCCAGTTTTATATTTTTAAAACACTTTACAGAATTTTATTTTTTATATTTTAACTCTTCCCTATTATGTTATTCTTATACATTTTTCTAAGGTCCACATTTGTGTGACCATTTTCAATAATCTTTCTGCTGCTGTAAATTTGCCCATTGTGGGACAATAAAGGGATTTTCTATTCTATTCTATAAAAGGGGTAGAGAGATATAAGTAAATCTAAACAATGTATCTACAAAATGTATCTGCAAAATCTCTAATATTCAACAACAACAAAAAATACTTATTTAAGCATATTGTGCAAAACAACAATAAAAAAATTTAACTCCTATCAGATTTATAGTCCCCACCCTGCAGATTTCTTAGAATCTGTCCTTAAATTACAGCCAAACCCATTTACACAGTAACAGATAAAAACTTTAGATAAACCAAACATTACCGCCACATATCTGACTCTATAACCATTAAAACAACTAGTAACAAGTAACATTTCCTCTCATCACGGAGCAAATCCCGATGATGAGACATTTGTTCTTTCTATCAACCCCTCCCCATACTGTCCTTCCTCAGGGTCACATGATGTGATAGGTCTCACTATGAGGAGCTCACACCACGTCACACGGTTTAAGCGTCACCTGATGTGAACGGTTAGAAAAAAGAGGAGAGACTCTTTGTGGATCTCCTGACCGTGGTCTGAATCAGAGTTCTTTTCCCACGGAAGAGGATTTGGGAACAATGTGGCGTAGCATTATATAAATTCAAAAGTCGCGGTATCTGTCTTTGGTAACTCCTGATTCGATCAGCTGATAAGGTGGAGCCACAGCGTCACGATCTGAGCCACAAACCGTCTGAAACACAATATGTTTAAAGTTAGTTTTTTGTTCACTCAATTCACTGCCTGGGTTTTTTTTAAATAGACAGAATCCTTTTTTTTCCTTTTCACTATTCAGTCATTGATGGAAATATCTATCGTACAAACCTGATAGATGACAGTCTATGGATTGCAAATGTTTTGTAACGTTCTGCTGCCTGAGGAAAGATTTTCTGCTTTTCTCTGCTGTTCACAGAGAGCAACTTTGACACAGCGGTTTTTCAGCTCTACTAAAATTGTATCAATAACAGGATAGTGATATTCGTATCTAAAGGCTTATCTATCCATATGTTTGATTATATTCTTAATTTGAAACCAACCGATTGGGAAAACTATAGCTTGTTAAAACAAACTGTCCTCTTTTTTTAATATAATTTTTTGTGTTAATCTCTTAATTTTTTCAAACATTTATTTCTCTACTGAATCATTAATCTTTTTTTATCTATCCTTAGATTTTTGATTTTTTTTTTTTTGTAATTCTAATAATAGATTTGATATAGTGGCAAACTGATAAATTGTTTAACCCTTTCCTGAACAGAAATCAGAGAAACGCTTTAGGTAATAGCACCTGCACCCTGTTAACGTAGATTTAACAGATATATCAGCTATATGGTAATTTCACTTTTATTACTGAAAGGTTTTCAAATAGCATAGATTAAGAAAAAGTAATTGCATACAGTATTCAGCCTATAATTTTTAGTCT